TGAGCCATCAGAATCCGAGTCAGGTGTCGTAGGCGTCATCTGTCCTGGCTCTCGGCCGCCGTGTGGGGCAAGCGGCCGAGGTGGTGGCAGGTGATCCAACATCGATTCAGGCCGAAGACCAGAATTGTTGTCAGCAGCATCCCGATGTGCCGCACGAGGCGGGGATAAGGCCGGTATATGGGTGCTCCGTACGGTTGTCCGAGGTGGCCACAAGAGTGACCGGTGCTGCCATGTAGTCTGGCCGGACTGATGTTGCCGGCAAGGGCGGTGGCGTCGTAGACGGCGGGGGTAGCGGCGGGGGATGGCCGTCAGGAACCGGTGGCGGTGGTGGCGGCTGTGGATGCCGCTGCTGGCCTTCAAGACGTTGCAGTCCGGCCAGAAGTAGACTGATTTGCGAAGAAATGGCAAGCAGCATGTGCCGACATTCACGTAAAAGATCCCCATGATCCATCACAATGCAGGTGAAGATGCGACAGAGAGGGCCAAATCAATCGGTAATCTACTCAAATGCGGCGACGGCAAGCAACACAACAAGCATGCAACACCCTTAATCAAAACATGAGCCTCAGGCAACCCCATGCACTTTTTCCGGAAGAGGAGCGTCACGATGTACACCATGAAAGTCAGGGCACAAACCACGGTGGGCCTGTGCAAAAGGTGTCAGACTGCCTTGCCATAGTCGTTCACCAGAACATGCCCATGTAGCTGGGCACCGCAATAGAAGATCGGAGTTTCCACCTGCCATCTTTGGCGTGAATGCAGTCATAGTAATGGGAAGCAGCTATGTCCGCGTACACTCCGCCACGGGGTATAGTGCAATGCTGTTGCCGGAGACGTGCAGTGCCACCAATACACACGGGGCGATCCGTGCGAATTCCCGCGAACTGCGCTGCAGATTGGATTGCCGCTTCCTGAGAATGGAGGCTGCCCCTGCAGTAAAATCCCATCGGAGGCAACCAGACTTCGTTCCAGTTTGAGCATTCGCGATTGGGGGAAGGATGTTCTTGCCATTTTGAGGGTCTGATCAGCTCTTCATCACGCAGGATGTTCATAGCCGCCTGCATATTGGTGTTGTGGGACCAGAAAAACGTCGACTGTGACTGAGTGCGATGCTTGTCCGGCAACAATCGGCGTGGCTCAAACGAGAAGATGATCCCGAAGAGGTTCTTCTGGGAGTTCTTTTTGTCCGTCGAGAAGTGGTGATACGAACGTGTAGTCCTGCTGATATATGGCCATTTTTCCTCGCAAATGCCAAGCTGTACGATGAGTTGCTGCGGCAGTGACTTCGGGGAGATCTGGAAGTAGTCAGAAATGTCTCTGACCACTTGATACGTCCAACGTCCCGGGACACCATGTGGTGGCGGAGCAAACGGAAACTCCGAAATGGACTTGACCCGCTGCTCATCTTCGATGATGCTGCGGCGATGCGGCATGAGGCTCCTGTAGACCGTCTCCCACGATTTCTTCAACAGCTCAGGTTCAGGAAATACTAAGGCGGCAATCGAGGGCAAGGTGTAGTAGAGGACATCATTGACTACGATGGCAATTTCCTCGATCCGGCAACCAGTGCGCAGCTTGAAGCGATGACTGCCCAAATCGGGTACATGCTGACGAACTGAGAGAGGCATCAGCACGATGCGGTTCTCGGATGGACTGCTTTGAGCGGGAGGAAACGGAGGCGGGCGGGTTTTTTTTGATCACGTCTCCCATCACTTCTCCATTCACCCCAGTCCTCCTCCTCATCAGAATTCCCCTGTGGGCCTGGTGTGAGCTGGATCCGGGAATAACGGGACCTGGGTGAGCGCGAACGGGACCGTCCGGTGAGTGCCGGAGCGTCACGGGATGGGCCGTGGGATTGCACACTTTGCTGGTGTGCTAGTCCGTGTGTCCGGATGAACATTTGCATCTCATTGCCGTTGATGAAGTTGGGAAGGTGCTCCAGCGTCACGCGGCTCGTAGTTTGCACTGATCCGTCAGAGCGTAAGAGACTGGTGACCGTGTACTCCGCCATGGTTCTGAGCCAGCTGCATGCAGACACAACGCAATGCATCAACAACAGTCACAAGCATGCGCAAGAAAAGACAGCATGACAAGCTCACATGCACATTTTGTCACGAGGCGACGCCGTACGTCACGCAGAAGGTGGGGGTCGAAACCTTTGGCCTCATAAAGGCGCTTGAGAGCGTTAAGTCCTTGCTGTTGCTGAACCGCCGGTTGTGCACCACGTATGATGAGCCAGGAGCGAGAAGACCAGGAAGAATAAGTAAACATCTGATCATTGGCACTCCGAATTCCTTTGATTTGGGAGGGATGATCAGGTAGCTGTGGTGTAATAGTTCTGGAAGAAGAATCACATCGATAGCCCAGCACTTTGTCATCATGTTGAACCTCAAGCATCACTGGTGGGCGATAAAATTCCAGGGAAAGAAAATTCATGAGCACGGGCGAGTGTGGGGCTGAATCACGAAGCAGAATGAAACGATTGTCAACGTAGCGCTCATGCCAGATGACACCAATGTCGGGCATGCGAAAACGCAGAGAACACATTGTTTGGTGCCAGAAGAAATCTTCAACCGTGGCAACCAAATTGCATAGCGGTGGCGCGGCTGGTGATCCCATAGCGACTCCCCGTTCTTGGCGGAACAAGTATCCGTTGATCTCGAAGTGACTGTTATCAATGACAAAGTCCAGAAGGTGCCGGAGATCTTGTTCATGAAAAGTGCGAGGGATCTTGGTTTGACGGCGCCATTTTCCTTTGAACATACGGCGTCGATGATCCGACTTCACCTCGAACACTGACCATTGAGAGGATCTGCGAAGGCCAACAACTTGATCGTACCGATGGAGAAGCACTTGTAGTGCCTGGTGGAATCGTTCCGTAGGAATGGACGTGAAGAAGCCTGACAGGTCTTGCGACACCAGGTGGATGTATTCATCGGGATCTGCCTTTGACAGCGATTCCCACAGCTGCTGGACAAGTTCTTGTACTGAAAGTTGACCTGCAATGTCGGGAAAAGTACTCCAAAGTAAGGCCTCGGTGCGAGTGCGAAAGCCTTCCCACGTCACGAATCTGCCGTGAGCGAACGGTCGGAGTAGCCAGTTGGTGAGGCCCCCATGGATAACCTGAACCAGGCGAACGTCCCGAATATCCATGCCTGACATGTCGCGCAGGTTGCCATGCGGAGTGTTGGCAACGGTCATGGGCAGGCTAAAGTTGTAGAGCTGATTGACATCAAACATGCCATCTCCAGGTGTCCAGTCAGGCGAAGGTGTAAGCCAGCCTTTCTGAGGGCGAACCGGTAGAGCCGCAGGAGGTCCAGGTGGCGGTGTAGGTTGGGTAGTAGTGACCGGCGGTGGCATCACGGGTGGCATGAACTTCGTTGGCGTGGGGTCTGGAGGGATCGGCGTCATGTAGTTGATCGCTGGGTGTTGGAATTGCTGTGTGGGGCTGTGAGTCGATTGAAAATTGGTGGGCATCATCGGAAAATTGCTGGCAGAGTTGTAGCCGGAATTGTGTTGCCAAGATACCAGGTTGTTCCAATCCATGCCCTCCGAGACCTGGTTGTCATTGTGTTCACGTCGGCGTACTTTACGAGCTTGAGGGGAAGGACTCCGATCACGTCTGCGCCGAGTCCTAGATCTGTCACGATCATCACGTCGAGACATGATGGCGCAACAAACTCAAAACCGCAACTCCACAATCTTGAGAGGAACGAGTCCGACAAAATGCAAGTCAATGCAAGTTCAAGTCAGCAGCCATCAGCTGCACTAGTGAGACGTCTCTATGATCTGACGGCTGACTTCCCTTTAGTGAAACCTCGTTCCTGGTTAAATGTGAAATTCCGCTGTTCTATGATAAGTACGTTGAGGTCAAATTTTCCGACAGAGCCGGCCCGGGGTCACACAATGGGTACACCCGAGGATTCCCCACGAATGGGGTGTACACACTTAAACTCCAGATGGAGAGTGCTAATCTTTCGAGTACAACTGATGAGTTACGAGCACAACTGATGAGTCTCGAGTACAACTGATGAGTCTCGAGTTGGTAAAGGTTAAGTTGTCTCACGTTCGATGGTTTCCGTACAGCTGGGGTTCAGCTGGTTTGGAAATGGGCAAAAAGGGGACCACAACCGGGGGGGCCCGGAGCTGCATGACAATGCCTCCCGCAGCCAGCAGGTACGTTGCACCCGGACCTCGGGGGGCGTCTTCGTTGGCTGAGCCTGATGAGCCTCTCCCCCTGCCGAAAGATGGTGACAGGGCATTCTGTCACTCCGCACACACACACACCCACCCCCACCCACCCCACACCCCCACACCACACCACACCCGCACCCACACCCACACACACACACAACCCACACCACCCACACCCACCCACCACCCCACCACCACCCCACCCACCACCACCACACACGCACACACACACCACACGCACACCACACACCACACCACCCACACACACACACACACACACACACACACACACACACACACACACACACACACACACACACACACACACACACACACAAACCACACACACACACACACACACACACACACACACACACACACACACACACACACACACACACACACACTCACACACACACACACACACACACACACACACACACACACACACACACACACACACACACACACACACACACACACACACACACACACACACACACACACACACACACACACACACACGTTTGTCGACAGCTGGGCCTGAGTTGAGGATTGCCAACATACATACCTGATCAGAGCGAAAGCGATCTTGGGACCACATGCCGTCTCCTGCAAATAAATTGGGATTGGATGCAAGTCCATGCTCGTTGGGCTCATCCCTTTAACCAGCTGTCACTAAGCATCACCAACCACCAACTAGCCACTGGTTCGCTCAGTTCGTTTTCTTTTTGTTTTTTTTTTTTGGGGGTGGTTCAGTGCGCAACATGTGACATGGCCTCACCGCATGCGCGCTTCGCGGGCAGGTCGCAAGCGCAGGAGAAACGTCAGAAGCTCCAGCACACTGAGGCTGGGACGGGTGCGAGTGGCTAGATTGGCTGTTGGCCCATGGTGTTTTTGTTTTTCTCCGAGGGGGGGTCTGGGCGCTTGACAGGCCAGCATATTAAAGCATCCAAGGAACCAACAAGGGTGTGTGTAATTTGTGAATGTTTTTCCAGACCCACCATGTAAGACCGTCTTCTCATTTGGTACCCATTTCTGAGACGTACATGGCTTTTCTAGTCCGATGTAGAATTCTGGGAAGGGAGTCGGCTCTCCCATCGTCAGTTTCCGTTGGAGGTCGGGGGTCCGATCGGGTGGTTTGGTTCGCGCAGATTCCACGCTTCGGCTCAAATCCAAGAGCTTGAAAGACAGCTACGCGTTCCTGAGAGGCCAGCACCTCTGTCAAGTTTCTTCCTGCCTTGGTTGGGATCTCAACTATCAGCGCTCTCCGTCCAATTGATTGATTGATATTGATTGTTTTGATTTTTTATTGGCCTGTTCTAGCAAGGATGAACCCCCACATGGGAACGACGGGGAAGCCAGGATTTGCGACAGCAGATTTGGACATCGTACTGCATTGTTCAGAATCTGCAAACTTTCATACACGTTATGAATCGCTTGGAGGCTCCTTTGAAGACGCCAAACATTATTTGCCAAAGATATATGCGACTGCAGTGTTGGCAATTGAGCAGGGCAAGACCGAAACACATTCCAGTGCCACACTACTCTGTGGCCACGCGCAAGCCCCTCCGTCACGATTCCGGTTGATGTCCGAATGTGAGCCTCGGCAAGAGCCAGTGACGGACAGATTTCCTTCAGACACAGCTGCGATGAAGACAACAAAGGCAACCACGTCGAAGACGCACCTCGGCTCTGCGAATCAAACAAAGAACACAAATTGTGGGATCAAACAATATATATATATATAGATATAAACCATCCACATTTTTTCAGCATCAACCAGGTATCACTTGGAGAGGCCATGCTCGGTCTCGAGCCCGCGAGCCCTTGCCATGTCGCATCGCTTGGCTCGCCGCAGAGCCCGGGAGGTGGATGCCCTGTCCCGCGTCGCGCGTGTGGGTAGCGCCCTGCAAAGCCGCGCCGTGTGGCGGGTGGACGTGGAGGAGCCGTGGGAGAAGCTGTGTTTTTTAGGTCGACCCCAAATTGGCGATTTTGATTTGTGGATTTTGTGGTTTGGGGATTTGAGTGGTAGAGGGAAGCTGATCTTGACCGGTCTAGTTGGCTTCCCACGGATTTGCCCTCTGGCGCGTGCAGACCTGGCTTTGACTGCGGTCCAAGAAAAACGCCTCATGACTTATCATCCGATCAACCCCAATCATGTTGAGAGTCTCCTTTGGGCCGCGTGCTCGCTTTTCCTTTGCGCGTTGCGGACGCGTTTCGGTCTCCCATTGGTCTCCCAAAGGCCAACGTGGCCGAGTTTCGGGCCCCGGGCGCGGTCCCCGTCCGGGGCCGCCTGAGTCGGAAGCTGCGGGCCGACGTGGCGCAGCTCGCGGCGCTGCCGCCGCCGGAAGCGCCGGAGGCGGGCTGATCGGGTGGGTGGGAGCTTCGGGGCGCGGCGCGGGGGCCGTAAGTTGCCATCAGAAAAGGAAGGTTCCATCAAGTTACTGGGCGTTCCTGAAAATCTCCGGTTTGGGAATAGGGATGATGTTGTGGTTGACATCGCTCTTTAGTGTGGATCGCGCGCCCAACTAACGCGCGCATATGACTTGCTCGGGCTTCCCCATATTTCCCCTTCTTGGTGGTTTTTGAACATCACATTTCGGTCGCCAATTTTATTCGGGAGTGATCAAAAGGAAGCATAGGGAACCCTGGGCTCAATGAGAGGTACTGACCTTAACAAACGCCACACGCACATGAGGCGCTGATTCCAGCGCAGACAGCCCTCGATGCTGAGCCGCGGTTGCAGGACACTTGTCGAGTGAGGGTCAAGGGCTGTCAGTGCCTTTGGGGATGCACAGGCTGGATCGAATGACATGTGCACTGGCCCCTGTCACGCTGCAGTGTTTTGTCCATGCGGTCGACCTTTCTTGTTCTGTGAGTTGAAGGCAACGCACAAGCCATGTGAAGAAACACACAATGCTGAGCGCAACGTGGCACTCGTAAGCATTTGTTCGTCCATACTATGAGACCATGCCTTGGGCTTCCTAAAGAACCTCACCTTTTTGGGCGTAAGTATATGTCGTTTTGGGGTGGTGTTTCAAGGGCACGTCGCAGAACAGGCCTTACAGCCCCCCGAAAGCAAGGTAGCAGATGGCTCATGAGAGATTTGCGTATCCCCAGTCTGAACCCAGGGATCCTTGGATGGGCATGGGCCCTTCAGTAGGCGTGTTATTATTCAGAGGGGTTGTGGTCAAGACTAGACGCACATGTGTCAAAATAGGGGTCCACAAAATGTGTATGTCCCAACCCACCCATAAGGAGTTTAGACCGTTGCAAGCATGTGCACGTCCTGAGACCACCTGGGCCCTGCCAAGGAGAGCATGACAGGGGTGGTCGTGGAATGTTTAGGGAATGACCCCCACAAGGAGTTTCAACAAGAGCTATCCCAAGATGAATAAATCCTGGTTGATTTCATGGAGTCCTCCCGTAACAATCCTTAGGCCTGGTGCAGAAATTTGACCACCCAGGACCTGCCTCGGCTTCTGCGGCGGCTGCGCCGCCTGCCGCTCCGGTTCTTGGCGCCGCAGCTGCCGCTGCTGGCCAAGCAGGCGAAGACCAAAGAAGAAGCCGTTGGGTCCTTGGGTTTTGAAGAGGCTTCGGTTCATTGCTGGATGTCCCTCGGACTTTTGATCAACTTTGTTTGTTTGGTGTTGATCTATTTTTGTCATTTTGTGTTGATCTCCATTTTTCCATTGTTGCTTTTTTTGTATGAACTTGATTGTTGGCATCTCCCTTTGGAACAAAACAGGTCCTTTGCGTTTTCCCTGGCAGGTGGAGGAGCTGCCCGGCGAACCCAAAGCACGGCTGTGGAATGCGGTGGCCCGCAGAGCGCCACGGCTTACCTCGAGTGCTGCTTTCGTTTGGTCTGAGCTGCTCCCATGTTCAGGTAGCTCTTACTTGGTGGTTTCAGCCGCAACCACCCCCTAGCCTCCAAACCACCAATCCAAACCATCGATTAGATGGACGCTGACATTTGGGTTTGAAGTTTAATCGGGGGCCCTTTGGTGGACGTCATTTACTGTGGGAGATTGTGTTCACCGACCACTTTTCAGGGGCCAACCAGACCCCCAAAAACACCTCCAAGTCTGATCTTTTGTAGTCTTTCCAGAAGGGGTGTGTTTGGGTCGCCTCCTGGTGGGGAAAGGCCCGTCTCGCAGCGAGCTGCCCAAATAGCCATCACCCGAAACATTCTGACCTCCGCTTCAACAAACATGTCCTCCAGTCCACTCTGATATAACGACCATTTGTCGTGAGGAGTAAGAAAAGCCGCGTCTCGGATCTCTCGAAAAGCCATCCGATGGTTTCCCGTTATTCTCGTGACCATGCCCAGGCACATTCGGGCGCGCGCGGGTTTCGGGAGGGAGGTGACGTCCACATTACTCCAAATTCATTTTGCTTTGTGGGCTCGGGACCCTCAAAGGTTTCCGTTCATAATTCCAATGAAAGACGTTCTGAGTGTTTCCCATCGAAGACTGACAAGCGGTGGGTGAATGATTTGGTCACGATGCTTCATGTTGTATAGTTGTATATATACCTGGAACTTCCTGAGTGTAAAAACACCGCTTCGCCAGAGAACATGTTTTATTTCATTTTCCACGGATCCGTGCGATGGCTGCTGCTGGGCTACATTGACATGCATGTTGATGGATTGTTGCGGTTCCCCTTGTCCTAATGTGGGGCCGTCTTGTCAACAAGTTTTGGGGTGGCTTGGGTTGTCCAAGCGAGGTGCTGGTGAACTCCGGGGTGTTCCCGGTGCAGGCGAGGCATGCGAAGGGTTCTGGGCAGTGGGAAGCCCTGTAAACCCCTCTTCGAAAGTCCTATTGGACTTTCGGAAAATCGGATTGGGAAGTCTTGAGGCCACTTGCATGAACATCGCCGTGATGCATGCGAGGACTCCAGGGCCAAGTGACGCCAGCAACCAGAGCAACGCTAGCCAGATCGAAGCTTTGCGTCAAGCTTTGCTTTCAAGTTGTCGAGGCCCACACTGCGAGAATATGCAGCTTCATGACTTGATTTGGGATGAGGGCTGCCACCGTTACAACCCTTGCTTGACAATGCACGGCATTAAGCAGAATTGAACAAACGATCAACGATGTGGCGGGTTCCCTACGAAGAACGATAGATTTCGGTCTAAGATGGTTTCCAGTATCCCCAAACCACTACAGACCACTACCCTTGAAAGAAAACGGGGTTTGTACCCTTTCAGTGGCTATATGGGTTTGTTTGCCTTTTTGTTGAGATAAAAAGCCACAACCTTAAAGAAACACTTTCTCAATGTACTGGTTGTCTGCAAAGATACAGATGATACAGGTTGCAAAAGGGAAACGGGCTATGCTCTTTGTCCCAAGCCGCTCCTTCCGGACTCACGCAGAGAGGTCTTGGCCTACGCATTGCCGGAGCTGCAGAGGGCGGGGCATCTGGCGAAGGCGATGCGAAAATTGAAGGATTGGAGTGGGCACCTCATTAACCCACCTCATTAACCAAACCTAGGAGTGAGTGAGCGACCCCCCATCTCCCCCATAAACCAAACCCAGGGACCTTGCAACCCCCCGGGAAAGCAACTTCTTTGTTTGTGGGGGGGGGGGGGCGGGGGCGCCAGCGGGGGGGGGATTGTGTCCATGATGTTACACCATTTTTACTTACGTTTCCATTAATTGATTGCCGTTGAGACCCCGTTTTTTTCTCTCCTCTCCATGTCTCAAACACAGGAATTTTAGGGCAGTTGAAAGGCTTGGGTAAGGTCACTTGCCGCGATACCAAGTTAGGGAAAATTCCTTTCAACGTGACAAAGTAATGGGAAGGGGAATCCTACTTTGGCGTGAGGATTGTTTCCCACGAGGGTTTGAAGGACTCATGACCATGAAGGACCATTGAAAGTGACAAAGTAGTCATTGGGAATGAGCAACTTTGATTTTCTCACAAGGGGGGACGTGTATTGTCTCTCCTTTGTGTCCCTGGGCCCAATAAACTAGCATCGTTTAATGGGTTCTTGCTGCCCGTTTCACCCTCGGCTTTCCTTTCAGTCTCCCTTCAAAACCGTCCAAAAAGACACAAAAACCATGGTTGTATCTCTCCATTCAGTGGGTCAGCCAGGCTTACTCACCACTTACTTGACGTGCCCGGTCGCCCCTTTAAGCAGTGCAGTGGTAAAAGAAATGTGTGTCTTTTTCTGAGGGTACCCTCGTTCCAACGATCATGGAAGTGGACAGCGGGGTCCCTCAAAAGGAAAGTAGTCTTCCAAAACCCTCCGCTCAGCTTCCAGCTTCCATGAGTGTTGGAGGGAGGGTACCGGTTATAAGTTATAACCAGACTTACTGTCCACCTACCCCACGCACCGAATCGATTGCCCTTTGGGCGGAGGTCTCGGCCCTCGGGAAGTTGGTGCGGGGCTTGGCGCGGCAGCCGCTGGCCTCGACGAGCTCCACGCTGCCCATGCTGCGCCTCGGCAACGGGCGGAGTGGGATGTGGGCGTCGTGTTTTTTGAAGCTACCCGTTTTGGTCGGGAGGTGTTGGTACCCTTTTTGGATGGTTTTGGAGGCAAGAAGAAAAACCGTCAAGCAAAAAGTGGGCTAGGGCGGGTGTCTCTTTTTTTGTCTTCCAAACTCTTTTTCCTCTCGGGGGGGACAGGATTTGGCCACCCGTTGGCAATCCGGAATTATGACCGGGCTATAACCGGAGGGTTTGTGCAGGATCCATGATTCTCAAAGTCGAGCCGGGGGTGCGGCTGTGGGCAAAGAATGGGCCAAGCAAAGACCTGCTATTGCGCTTGAGTGGCAACCGATTCGGTACGTCAGGTAAGTGGTTGGTAACCATGGTAAGTTCTCTTCTAGTGGGTCTCTTGACCATTACTGCCCACTTACCTGGCGTACCAGACCGATCGAAGCGAGTTGACGCGCAGCGCCTGGCCATACGACCCTGACTGTTTGCTTAACTGTGGCGAGAAACGAACGCACATGGATTGGCTTGCCGTGACCCTGCGGATGCCTTGTTTCCTTGGTGCTTCGTGCCTTCTGCGCACTCAATCTGAAGGGCAGGATCTGAAGCGGGGCCTAGGGTTTGGCCCGAGGAAGTGCTGCCGCGTGCTTCAGCTGCAACTGGCGCAGTCCAAGCCAACGGCGCCTGGGCTGTGGGCGGAACGCGTCCACCAGATGCTGAGCCGGCGCCTGCCGAGCAGATTCGCCCAAGCGCCTGCGGCGGAGGCGAGCGCGATGAAAAGGACACTCAGTGTTTCCGGAATCCTCTTCTGCTAATGGGCGTGTCCACTTCAAGTGTCCATGTTTAGTGAGTAGAAGGTGGCAACTATGTCATGAGGTGTGGCATATGCATTGAGTCCCAACTGGGTTTGGGTTTGAACCTGGTAGTTTCCCAAGCTTTGTTGGAATACAATACTTGGCTGGCAAAACCCCTAGCACAAACACCATAGAGGGCCTTCAAGCAAAGGTCAAGTGACCACAAGGGCCATTTTCAGACACTGGCCTTGGAATCAAAAAAGCACTTTCCCAGGTCACTTTCTGGAAATTGCCGTCACCTGCTTTGTCTTTGGCAGTTGCCAGCTGCTCATGACACCTTTGGTCGCTTCTTTGACATTTCCCCTGCTAATCGCCAAGAGTTTTTATTGCTGGATGCTTGCAAGCAGCGCCGGATGACGACCCACCTTCCCCCCTTGCCATCATCAATCTTGAGCAGCGCGTTTTGCTTTGCAGGAAGGCCGCGGAACCGAACTGGACCCGTGCCGAACCAACATACAAACTCCACGACCGCCCCTGGCCCCTTTCTAGAAACAAAATACCCCACTCACCACTTGGGAGTGCTTTGGATTTTGACCGATTTCCTTTTCCAGGTGCTGCCTTGGATGGACTTCTATGCAGAGCAAGGGTTAGTGGATGGGCAGCACCTGCAAGTCTGGGAGAAGGCGGGGGCATCCCTCAGGGAGGCCTTCTTGTCCCAGGAGGAGGAGAGGCAGCTGCGGGAGTTGCAGGACAAGGTCCGAGTTCAAAAAGACGAGCGAACAGCAAGGAGAGCGAGAGAGAGAGAGAGAGCATTTCCTGCAGACCAAGAAGCATCCAGCAGTCAGCAAACGGTTTTGCAGTTTGAGGCTTTAGGTTGGTTGGAAGGGCGCTGAACTCGACAGACAAAGCTTTGCCCTCAGGTGCCGCTTTGGGTGGGGGAGTGCTTGCCTCACCCACCTGCAAATGATGCGGTTGCAACTTGGCAGCCACCGTTGGACGAGGGCGACCTTCCCGTGGATGACACCATGCCTATGCCTGGGACACTGGAGCCAGTTCCCAAGAATGTGGATCCATCCTTGTTGCCTCCTATGTACCAGATGTCTCCCCCAGTGCCGGTGCTTTGGCACACCGCTCCAGAGAACTACGAGCGGAAGTTGTCGCGCCTGGGCCCAAGGCAGCTGGTTCTGGCCCTGCGCTACGTAGCCGCAGACGGCGCGGGGATGGTCTCCGCCGTTACTCAGACACCTAGGAGCTAGTAGGTTGCCATTTTTGTTCCTTCTCGGCAGAAGGTGTCCCAGCAAATTCAACTGCTAAGAATCTAAGACACAGGCGCCTTGTTGACCTATGGCTGGGATCTCAGGCTAGCGTTGCGGACGTGCCGGCGCAGCATGCCATGACTGAGCTGTCGCGTGGCGTGATGCCCAGGCGGCACCGCAGCCGCACCAAGGCGCAGGCCTTCGTGGGAGCATTGCTCAGCCACCTGGTGAGCCGCATCCGCAGCGTGAGGTCCAACGAGGCCTGCTCGGCCGTGAAGAGCCTGGCAGCGCTCAAAAGGCTGGGCTTGGCAAGCCATGACGCCAGCGAGGCGTTGCAGGCGCTCATCTCTGGGCCGCTGTCTGGCTGGAAAGTTGCGACAGCCCTGACTCCACGCGATGTGGCGCTGCTGCTGCAAGGCATGTCTGCCTTGGCAGTGGAAGATGGTGAGGTGGGTGCATTCGCGCTTTCTTTCAAGAGGTACCTCTTTTAAGTTGGTTTAAAGGGTGTGCCCCTCACACACACACACACACTGAGCGTGTGTCTTTATAGATTTGGAAACCAACAGGAAATCAACTCTTTCCTGGTGCTAAGCAGCACAAAATGCTGAAATTGCACCCAAGAAACCAAAATGGGACAGATAGCTTTTGGACATTTTTCCGGGCCCCCTATTACCCTATAGCGTGTTCTGAGGTCCGATTTTGACACGCACACACACACACAACCTGTTGGCCATTTTAGTAGGTGGTTCCACCAGGTGTAAAGGTTATCAGGGGGTGTCTTTTGTAAAGGGAACACTTTGTTGGTTGCTTTTTTTCCCCAAGGAAGCCACAAGTTGAACACCACATTTTGGGGCAATAATAATAATAATCATAATAATAATATCATAATAAAAATACAAACACAGGCAAACACATAAGGCCAACATGAACCTGGGCAAAAGCCATGCGCGTAGAATCAAGCTCCTCCGGTTTTTGGGCGCCAGGTGTCGCCGGTGACACTTACGGCCCGTGCTGCCCTGGACACCGCTGCAGCGCGGCTCTTGGACCTTGCCACCTGCGCCTTGCAGGAGGCTGGCGCGCCGCCCGGGGCGCTCAGGACGTGAGTCAACGATCTGGCTGTCACTGGGGTAAACAGAATGTTTGTGCACAAAGCCCCTTTCCAAGAGGAAGGTCGTCTTTCCACGGGGGCCTGTGCACCGGTGGGAGGGTAACATGATATGCTTGTTTTGCTGGAGGGAAACATGTGTTGAACGTGCTCTCAAAAAGCTGGGGTGAAATTTTCGGATGAAATTAGTGTTTGATGCCTTTGCGCTGGGGAAACCACATCTTTCGGCGTTGGTTATCAAAGCTGGGGCTAAACCACCCGGCAAACTGGGGGAGTGAGTGGGAGAGAGAGAGAGAGAGAGAGAGACAGAGAGAGAGAGAGAGAGAGCGAGAGAGAGACAGAGAGAGAGAGAGGGAGAGAGACAGCGCTGGGACCGTTCCCCTAACCCTGCAAAACTGGTTGTTAGAGGATTTTCTACTGGCCTAAATTGTGCGCGTTACTGTAGGAAAAAAACAATTTACCTTGTCCGTTTGTTTCTATTTGCCGCCACCCTCAAAAAGAGACAGTCCTAGATTGGGCCAAATACAACATCACGCAACTACCAGACTAATTACAGGATTCGTCATTTCCCTTGTAGAAGCAGGTGGTGGATGTATCCCTTTAAGGGGCACTGTTCAAGTGGTTTGCAGTTTGAAGGGGCCTCTCAAAATTTGATTTGTGGTGGGGGGAGCCTTTAACAGCCACCAGCTTATTGCGCTGATTTTGAGGATGGCCTAAACTGGGCAACAAGAACAGGAGTCTCTGCGGCGCCGCGGCGCACGCGGCCGAGTTCGGGGGCCGCCCGGCGCGGCGGGCGCTGCGGCGGTTTTTGGTGGCCGCGGCCGCGGCGGCGAGGGATGGGCCGCACGTTTCGGCTCCAGTGCTGAGGCAGCCTTTGGCAGTGCTGCGGGCAGCCGGGGACGCCAAGGTCTACCGAGTCGAATAAGGTTGGCCTTGTTTGACCACTCTGGGAAGAAGAGCAGCCCAGTATGGAAGCCGATTTGGATAAGGTTCGGGTTAGTGTGGAGGCCGTGGGGTTGGGACCTTGCGGAGTTTTGATCAGGTTTGGTCCTCGGATGCCTTCGAGATGCTGGCGCCTATGGTCACAGAGCTTATCTTTGGCAGGGCTGTTCGGAAGCTGCCAGGCTTCGAGCGAGACTGGAAGCCATTGCTGCCAAGACACGACCACATCCAGGGAGCCTGGCGCATTGAGGAGCTAGCAGAGGTGGCCTGGCTTTATGCAAGAAGCAGTAGTCAGAGACCATTGGAAGGCCAAACCGCCACTGCCCTTTCACTCACACTCTTGATCCACCTGCCGGCGCTGCAATCAGCTCTTGGTGAAGAAGTCTCAGATCAAGCAGTCTTGGATTCACGGCTTTTGGCGTTTGCGTCTGATGCCAGTCGCATCCTGCGTTCTGCTGCAGACACTCCCTTCTTCGAGCCCTGGGTTCGCCCTGTGAAGTTTCCTGGGCACGAGTCCCAGCTGTCGCCTTCCAGCGACCATTTCGATCCCCAGCTGCTCGCAGATGGGAGCGCGGCTCGGCAGCTGCTGCTGAGGTGGCGGAAGCTGACGTCGGCACCCGCGGCCGGCGCTCGGCGACGGTCGCGGGCGCTCGCCAGCGACGCAAGCCTTGGCCGGGACGCCCTGGCGGCGTGTACGGCGCTGGCGCTGCTTCGCTCCGAGATCGCCGGCCACGCCATCTCCTGCTTGCTGCGGGCATCTTCCAAGCAACTGGCCAGCAGTGAGCTAAGACTGTGGCTCAGGCAGTTCCGGCAACACCGAGCCGCCAAAAAGGAGGCTACAGATCGTGAAGCGCATGCTGGAAGATCACTTGAGCACGTCCGCTCCTTCCCTCACAAAGATGCTTTTGACAAGATACTGATTCCATGACATCAAGCACCTTGTGCATTTTAAAGCTGAACAGATCTTGAAGGATCATATGCGTCCCGCCCCCCCAGCCACTGCATTGAGTTTAAGACTCCTGAAGCGTGTTCTGAGGAAGAAGATGTCACCCTTTTGCGCCCAACATCACGGAAGTTGATAGGAGGGTTTGATCTACTGTCCTCTTGAAACGGCCCCGTGTCCACCTCCATGATGGTTGGCGAGAGGCCATTGCAAGGGTTAAAGTTAAAGCAATAGGAATGGGGTTATGGGTTGTGGAGGGCGTCGAAGCCAAATGTGTCATGGTTACTTGAGAATCAGTCGTGTTGCCCATGTCAGGCCCGTTCCCCAGCTCATTGTGGGCCACCCCGCAGTGGTTTTGCGCGAAGCCTTGCCAGGCACAGTCCGAGGCAACTGCCTCACCCTCGGCTCGGACCCCAAGCGGAAGTCGAAAGCGTCAGGACTCTTGGCATTTCTGTGATGAGCTCATCGCAAAAGAGGGGCTTTACCTGGGGATCCCTCACTGCAGGTTTGGAAGTAGAAGAAATATTATAGGTTTTTACTTTTTCATGATCGAAGCGTGTCGTTTGCCTCTAGGTTCATCTCGCAGAGAAGTTCCCTCACTTGGCTCTAGTCTTCGGCTTGCCTTGAAACGTGCTTGGCCAAGCTTTGGCGTGGCAGCGTCCTTCAAAGTCAATTATTTCTCCAGTTCCTTAATGTGGCATCCATCCACTTTGCAGCCATGATCACAAGCAGGGCCAAAGGGTCCTGCTAAGGGCCCTGCTAAGATTTGCGGCATGGGTAGCACTCAACTGGAAGCTCCCAGGGCCCAAGATTGAACGGTAGCAGACATGAATGTGCGAGAATGTGCGCCACTTCAAAACATGAGCTATTGCCCCAAATCACGTGTCACTCCGAGCTGAGTTGGGCCATGGCCACGGTCCGTTGCAATTTTCTTGGTCGGAGCGTTGTTGACCTTGACGGTTTGACGCCTGATTTATCACTGATATGGAGATGCCGTTGCTTGAACCCCAGTGTTTGGGGCGCTAGTGTGACGCGTGTTTCCTCCCAAACGCCAGATGCCACGTGTTGATGACCATCAGTGGACCATCAGAGTTATTACTGCGAGGCTTGTGTCAATTTGCCTTGTTTGTGTTGGGCGTTTGAGGTGTCTGCGCTGCCTGATGCAGAGGCGGGCAAAGTGGAGAAGGGGTGGCACAGAGTCTTGCAGCCCTCAGCTACAGGTCGGGGAGATTCGGTCTGAATTTGGTGCCTTGGGTTTTTCTGCGCCCATTTCACTTGCCACGTTTTGCATGTGTACCAAATTGATCTTCCTTGCCTGTTTTTGTTGGCCGGAACCTGCCGGCTTGCCAAGCCATGGAATGCCGTTTTCAATTTGAAACCTTGCCATGTCCCGATTTGCACCGCATCACCAACCTGAAGATTTTCCTTGCTTGTTCCATATTTGTCCTTGTTCCTTGATGATAGGAGCCTTGGGTGGTTGCTGTCCCCCAGCCCCAGCCGTGGCGATGCGGAGCCAACAGAAAGAAGCTAAGGAAAGAGTCGGGATGAAAAACAGTGGCTGCGTAGAGTATAAGGTGTTGCATGTGAGACCTAGGTGAAAGGGTGTCTTGGGAGACTGCCGCGGCCGGTCTGCCGGCTTTGACCTTTGAACTGTTTGGGCTTGACCGCTGTTGGCGGCCAGGAAGCGGCGCCAACACTAGAGCCAAAGGTGGGGTGACGTGTGCTGGGAGTGTGGGTCAGCTGTGGGTATGTCGGCGGGTCTTGTGGCACTCGTTTTTCCAAACAGGCAGCGCCGCAAGCAGTGCCGGAGCCGCCAAAGGCAAGGTTAGGGAGTGGCAAGGGGAAGGGCGAATGCTGGGAGGCAGCCTCCAAATACAAATTGTGATGCAAAGTGTCCTTCGTCTAGAATGGCTGTTCATTGGGTTTTTCAAAGGCTTTCACTCCTTTCTAGGGGACCTTGTAGTGGCTTCCATGCTAGTGGCTGGGAAGGTACCTTCCACAGCTGGGGCGACACAGCCAGAGGGCCAAGACCAAGCGCCCTCGTGTGTGGACTAGCCTTTGTTGGAGCACAGAGAGTTCTTGATATTTGTTGATCACTATAACATTCGAGGGACGCACTTTTTAAGCTGACTTCAAGCAATCACACAGCAACCATTGTCCGCGCAGTCGTGGTATGGTTCTTGTCGGCAACCCTAAGTTTGTGAACTTAGCAACTGCCAGCTGACCAACTTGAGCTGTTTGGGCGGTGTTTGGGCAAGCAGGGGCTACTTTGGAGATGCTAGCCAGGAAGCGGCGGCGCCCATACCGGAACCAAAGGCAGGGCGATACAGCGGACGAAACTGGATGAAGTTGACGAAGCAGCTGAAGCCAGTTTTCTTGACGCTCTTGTTTCTGCCACGCATCTTTGGTCACCTGGTGTTTGTCAAGCACAGGCACCCCCGCAAGCAGTGCCGGAGCTGCCAAAGGCAAGATTTGGGAGTTGCAAGGGAAATGTGGGCGAAAGTGCCCTTGTCTAGAATGGAACTTGGGTTGGGAACCCTTTGAGCGGGCGCGGTATCGTTTCGGTCCAAGTGCGTTTTCGTGTCGGTCTTAACTGTTCTGAGCAAGTTGTGCTCAGAGCCAGCTGCTGCCAGCATGTTATTGATTTATTGTTTGATAGCTTTGCCAGGGTGACTACGACCAAATGAGAACCCACTATGAGCGGAGCCCTTCAACTATCATTCCCTTTTGAGGGGCATTGTGGTGAGTGCCGTGTTTGTGGCCGGCAGGGTGCGTTCCGCAGTGTGTAAGCTTGGGCAATACATACAAAGGGACAGACATAAAACAAGTCCAAACAGCACTCGTGCATAGACTGGCCCCCGTAGAAACGCAGAAACCTGTTGATATTTGATCATGAAGATCAACCTTGCTTATTTGCCACATTCGAGGGAGCAACCATTGCACCGTGACGCACTATATAAAGCTGACTTTGTCGCGTGTGCAATTTCAGAACAAGCAATCACACAGAAACCATTTTCCGCGCAGTCGCGGTGTGGTTCTTGTCTGCACGTTACTCTGAGTTTGAGAACTTAGCAACTGCCAGCTGACCCACTTTGAGCTGTTTGGGCTGTGTTTGGGCAAGCAGGGGCTACTTTGGAGATGCTAGCCAGGAAGCGGCGGCGCCCACACCGGAACCAAAGGCAGGGGACGAAGCTGGATGAAGTTGACGAAGCAGCTGAAGCCAGTTTGCTTGACGTGCTTGCTTCTGCCACGCATGGTTGGTCACCTGGTGTTTGTCAAGCACAGGCACCCCCGCAAGCAGTGCCGGAGCCGCCAAAGGCAAGCTGGGAATGTACAGATGTGACGGGAAGTGTCCTCTGTCTAGAACAGCTGTGCATTGGGGTCCCCCCCCAAGGACTTTCAAGGTGGTTCCATGGGAAGGTACCTTCCACAGCTGGGGCGACACAGCCAGAGGGCCAAGACCAAGCCCAAACAGCCCTCGTGTGTGGATATTTGTTGATCACTATACAGGTAAAACTTGCTTATTTGCAAGATTCGAGGGAGCAACCATTGCAGGGTGACGCACTACATAAGCTGAATTCAAGCAATCACACAGCAACCATTGTCCGCGCAGTCGTGGTATGGTTCTTGTCGGCAACCCTAAGTTTGTGAACTTAGCAACTGCCAGCTGACCAACTTGAGCTGTTGGGGCGGTGTTTGGGCAAGCAGGGGCTACTTTGGAGATGCTAGCCAGGAAGCGGCGGCACCCACACCGGAACCAAAGGCAGGGCGATGCAGCGGACGAAACTGGATGAAGTTGACGAAGCAGCTGAAGCCAGTTTTCTTGACGCTCTTGTTTCTGCCACGCATCTTTGGTCACCTGGTGTTTGTCAAGCACAGGCACCCCCGCAAGCAGTGCCGGAGCTGCCAAAGGCAAGATTTGGGAGTTGCAAGGGAAATGTGGGCGAAAGTGCCCTTGTCTAGAATGGAACTTGGGTCGGGAACCCTTTGAGCGGGCGCGGTATCGTTTCGGTCCAAGTGCTTTTTCGTGTCGGTCTTAACTGTTCTGAGCAAGTTGTGCTCAGAGCCAGCTGCTGCCAGCATGTTATTGATTTATTGTTTGATAGCTTTGCCAGGGTGACTACGACCAAATGAGAACCCACTATGAGCGGAGCCCTTCAACTATCATTCCTTTTTCAGGGGTATTGTGGTGAGTGCCGTGTGTGTGGCCGGCAGGGTACGTTCCGCAGTGTGTAAGTTTGGGCAATGCATACATGGGGGCAAAAAGCCAAGTCCAAGCAGCACCCGAATGGAGCGCAGAGGGTTGTTGATATTTGTTGATCATTTAGATCAATCTTGATTATTCGCAACATCCGAGTGTTTTCCGAGCAGTTATAGTATGGTTCTTGTCTGCACGTCACCCTAAGTTTGTGAAGTTGCCAGCTGACCAACTTTGAGCTGTTTGGGCTGTGTTGGGCAAGCAGGGGCTGCTGTGGAGATGCTAGCCAGGAAGCGGCGGCGCCCACACCAGAACCAAAGGCGGGGCAATGCCGTTTGTCTTGAGTCTTGAATGGAACTTGGGTTGGAAACCCCTCCGGCGGGCGCGGTATCGTTTCGGTCCAGATGCGTTCTCGTGTCGGTCTTCACTATTCTGTGCAAATTGTGCTCAGAGCCAGCTGCTGGCAGCATGTCATTGATTTTTCAAGTGCCTTGTGGTGACTTGCCTTTTTGTTGGCCGGTTGCTGCTGCGCGGGCTGCGGAAGTGCACTTCGTATACTACTTTGGAGCGGAAAAGTTCTGCGGAAGTTTACGTCGTGTACTACTTTTGTACTGAAAGTTGGGACTTGCAAGCCGGACTGCGGAAGATGAATGTTGTGAAAGTAGCCCGACGATGGCGTTTCTTGGAACAAGGAGTGTTGAACAACCGCCATATACAGAGGGACAAAAATCCAGCCCAAAGGCAGAGGATGCGTTGATCATATAGATAAATCTTAACTATTTGCAACATCCGAGTGAGAAACGATGAGACGCGTAAGCTGACTTTGTCGCATTTGCAGTTTCAAAACAAGCAATGGCACGATAACCATCTTCCGAGCATCCGGGTTAAGATAGCAACTGCCAACTGACCCACTTTGAGCTGTTTGGGCTGTGTTGGGCAAGCAGGGCCTGTTGTGGAGAGAGATGCTAGCCAGGAAGCGGCGGTTCCCACACCAGAGCCAAAGGCAGGGCGATGCAGCTGATGATGCATAAAGTTGACGAAGCAGCTGAAGCCAGTTTTCTTGACGTGCTCGTTTCTGCCGTGCATCTTTGGTCACCCGTGGCGTTTGCCAAGCACAGGAACCGCCGCCAGCAGTGGCGGAGCCGCCAAAGGCAAGGTTAGGGAGTTGCAAGGGGAAGGGCGAATGCAGGAAGGCAGCCTCCAAATACAAATTGTGACGGACATGTCTAGAATCCGCGAAAAACGTTCTTTCCTTCTATCGGGCCTTGTAGTGGGTTCCATGTTTGGCTGGGAAGGTACATCCCACAGTTGGGCCGACACAGAAGGCCAAGACCAAACCCAAACAGCCCGCACATGGACTGGCCTCCGTCGGAGCACACAGGGTTTTGGAAATGTCTTGGTGATCTTTTGGATCATGATTTGTTTCAGCATTCGAGGGAGACGCCGTGGCAACGCACATAGTAGTATAAGCAGAAATTGTCGCAAGCAATCGCACGACAACCATCTTCCGAGCAGTCGTTGTATGGTTCTGGTCTGCACGCGAACCTAAGCTTGTCAAGTTAGCCACTGCCGCCCGACCCACCTTAAGCAGGGTGGGCTGTGTAGGGGCTGCCGCGGAGATGCTAGCCAGGAAGCGGCGGCGTCCACACCGGAACCAAAGGCAGGGCGATGCAGCTGATGAAGATGGTTGAAGTTGAGGGAGGCAGCTGAAACCGAAGAAAACTGGACGTGCTCGTTTCTGCCGTCCTCCCTTTTGTATCATGTGTCAGTCAGCCTTGTTTTCCCAACCGATCTCAATATGAGCCGGGCATACGTGCGTCTCTCAGCCCTCAGACTGGTGAAACCCCAGCAAGCTTGAAGATTGCAGCAGGCCACACGGCTGAGGATATTGGGGGAGCTAAGGGGCCAGGGACAATAAACATGCAACGGATCCCCTTGTGAATTGGGAGCGAAATGGCCCAGCCAGTCCCCCCCCCAAAAAAAAGGAACAGAAAGAAAGAACAAGAACCACAATCAACAAGGAGGATATGCTTGGGCTCGCCCCTACGACTTGGCGCCCAATGCGGGAAGTCTACACTCACAACGAGCTCACTGATTTGTCAGTAACATGCACTCAGGTTTGGGGTGCCCAGTCTTGTGTTTCCCCCAATAGGACTGGAAGAGAGGAGAAATCGCTAGTTTAGTATTGGTTTCAAATTGGGCTATTCTAATGCAGTGCTGGCCCCCCCGGGGTTTTGGGAAAACGTGTTTGGTTGTTAGGGGAACTGTTTTGGGTGGAAGTGATTAGAAATTAGCGCGGAGAAGTTTGGTAGTGGTTGGACAGGACGCAGTCAAGGAGGGAGTCGTGACTCCTCTTGGCCCATTGCAGGCGCCTACAAGCACAGCGCACAGTGTTTCGCCCAGCGAAGCCTCCCCTGATGAGGCGAGGGTGCAGCCAGGTGGCTGGAACGAGTGGGAACTTGGATGGGCATATGAGTGGCTCGTTCTTTGAGTTGGTACCTTTGTTAAGGGCATTGTCTGAAGCAAAGGCGATCGTCCGGTTTACCGGGTTGGCCCAGGCTCCGCCCAAGAAACGGAAGGCGGGGCTTTGCTTCAGGGAGTGGGTTGTGGTGCTTTCCTCCTGAGATAAGCAGGAGCTTGAATGGGCGTGTCTTTTTGTAGGGGACCTCCCAAAATGGTTATTTTCCTTTTGGTTGACCTTTCAATCCAACACAAAAGGGGGTCCACAAAGATAGGACAGTTGCACTTAAATGGTTGGAACACACCAAAACTAGTTGGACACAGATCCTAGCCAGGGAGTTCTCACCAGCCCAGACAAGAGCGCAAGACCATCCCTTTTGGACATGAATTAAACATGTAAATAACTCCCAGCAACTAGTTGGTCATGTAAATGGTGCACCCATGGGTCCCAACTGTTAGAGGGGAGGATGGCCATCACGGTTGGGTTCTTTTAATTCCCTTTGGCGTAGGGTTTTGGATCCCCAAATCGTGGTTTCGGTTGGTTTTCCTTTAAACACACCGCAAAAAGGGCAGCCGAAAAAGCCGACCGCCTTTGAACCCGTAGGTGGAGCCCAAGGCAGAGCCTCACAAAGGCGAGCCGAGTGGATGGGGATGGGCCCTGGACGCCAGACGGATCATTTGACCTGCGATCGGTGCGATTTGTGGGGAACGAGGGAATGAACCCAGGGGTCCCCTTGAAGGACACCAGTTGGTGTTTTTTTCTTTTTTCGGGGTTATTCCCTCATTCCCCTGCTGAGCCTAGCAAGTTAAGCATGTGCGACACTTTCCGGGGACAGATGTCCAACCTTTGCTTCGCGAACATTCCGCCCCGCAAAAAAGCCATTTGGCTGACTTCAGGTATCCATGTTGGCAGTGGTGGGTTGAGGAAAGACTCGTGCCAGCCAAGTGACCAAATTGGATATCGCCTACCCGGAAATCTTTGCACATGCCAAAGGCATTTCGCACCTTATTGAAGTGGAATGGCTGAGCATTGGGTCAACATGCGACCCGAGTGCCAGCGCCTAACTTTGCTGGACCCTTTGTCCTGAGCCATGCCCCGGCGTTCGCTGGCGCTGGCGATAGCGTTGGCATCGGGCCTTGGCCCCGGCTTTGCGCAGGCCGCTCTTGTAGCGATGCTTTGCTGAGATGCTAGAAAGGTGGAATTGGTAATTGGAGCTTGTCAGTCCGTTCGTCCTTCGGTCTTGTATATAGATTTGTTTTTGTATATATACAAAAATATGTATATACATATATATATATATGTTATCCCAGCTAACCTGGCATGGGGTGTGTACATGATTCCTTGTTTGACTGTCGAAGGGGTACAAAGCAGAACATTCAAGGCAACTCTAGACGACTTTCTCTCCAGGAGTTGGCTTGCAACTGCGACTTGTGAAAGCGCCAAGGATGGCCAAGTCCTGTTGAACCAAAGGGGTCTCCTCCCAAATTACTGTATGTTTTCAATACGGCTACGAATGACGCAGGATCTGAACAAATGCTTTTGCGTGCCCCCCAGATTGAGGCTCATGGCGTGTTCTGGCCGTGCTTCAAGCGATGCCCTTCGAAGAGATTTCCAACAGTCCGATGGATGCGGGATTGAGGCTGTGTTTCACTGGGCAGGATGTTTCGCCTTGACTTTGGAACCCTTTCCCGAGTCACGGATCGGATGTCTGCCCTCCTCGGCAGGTCACCCGCAGAGGGTTGCTGGCCAGTTTCCTGGCGCCGGCGCCGGCTGCGGCGGCGGTGCCAGCTGCCCGCCCTGCGACTCGCCGACCCAGCCGTTCGATGCAGATCGCAGCCCTTGGTCGTAGGGCCTTGTTTCGAGACATGCCTTGGACTACACACTTCAGCCTTTCAGCCAGCCTCCAGCCGCAGCATACGCCAATCGGGCCTTGTGACATACAAGGTTCCGTGAGAGCAGAGCATGCAAAGCAATTAGGCAGGACCTCCTGAACATTCTGGTGAGGTTTTGTTGCGCTCCGATTTTCTATTTTTGCCCCTCCCTCCCCCCCCGGCCCCTGAAACCACCAAGTACCTATCCGGCTTTGCAAACGCCCTGTTTGAACAGGCTTAGACCATTGTTTACACAGCCTTCCCTAAGTTTCCCTCGGAGGCGCTGAGGATCCAGTTTCGGATGTTGGCCAACTTGGCAGTAAGGCGGCCTTTCATTCAAACCATGTGTTATGGACACAACTGCTTGTTCTCAGCGGGCAATTGGACGTCTTTTGTGAATGAACTGTTTGGCTTTCCCTTAGAGGAATCACATGGATACCTCATACTGTGGATGGACAATCTCCTGCACCAGTCGGGGATGCACGAAGCCCTATGAATGTCTGAGCAAACCACCAATAAACTGGTGCAAATCGGATTTGGTCCATCCACAGAGGGCTTGAACCCGTGGTTCTTCTTGAGGGTTGAGGGGAAACGACCCCCAGCCTGCATGCAGTTTCTGTGCCTAAGGCGACCAAAGATGAGCTTCTGGAGATTGCAGGCGCGTTTGCCCAGCTGGCGACCACTCCGAACACTCCCGGGGCTGATGCCGTTTTTGCGGAGGTGGAGGAAACACTCGGCAAGGCCGGGGAGAACACCAAAACCTGAGAGCCTTAAACTTCAGTTGGGGTAGTAAAGGCCTTTATTGACCTTTGTATGCCATGTTGGTAGAACCAGAACTCAATGGCTGTTTTTGTTGGTGAGCTGCCCTTCTCGAAAGCATAGTAAATGGTTTTCAAGTAAAAATGCCTGATATATTTTGGAGAGGGATAGCACGCAGAGATCGCCCGAGAGGTGGCGTATATGGCGCCGAGAAATGTCACCAAGGGAGAAAGAGAGAGAAGGAGAGAGCTTGCGCCGGGAAATGTCGGCAAGAGATCGCTCAAGAGATTGAGCTGAGACACGTCGCTTAAGAGACCAAGAGACTTCAAGGAGCGATGTCACGGAGAGGTTGCTCACAGACAAATTGCGCATGAGATTGCTCGAGCAACCTCGGAGAGATCTGGAGAGATAGCATGTGAGATTGCTCGGAGTGGCGTGAGATACTGCAACGCCGAGTGATTGCGCGTGAGATTGCCCTGAAGACGTGCACCACAAGACTCGCATTTGCAACATAAGCCCGAACATGTGCGCCAGAAGGCTGACATGTGCAACCTAAATTTGGATTGGTATTTTCAGGCAGCGTGGGCCGACCGCAGTCTGCAAAACTTTGACCCTCCCGCAGATGCGGCGTGTCGACCTTCAACAAATGAGGGCTTCTATGTCTATAACTTTGTGCAGTCCCTGCGCAACTGTTGGGGCCGACCTGCAGGGCTTTTAATATTATTACTTTTGCCTGGTTCCCGCGCAACCCTTTGCAGGGATTGGGCGGGTCGACCTTCAAACACTCTTTGCGGGGATCGGGCGGGTCGATCTTCAAAAGACTACGGGCTCTAACAACTTTTTAGCATTCCCCCGTGACGGTCTCCGGAGAGTGTCGGATGCGCGAAGCACCACGTTACGTATTTTCCGAAGTGCGGAGCTGGGCCTGAAAGTTTGTCTCGGGTCCCTTCTGGAATCTTGGGCCAAAACACGGCCCAAGATCCGCGTTCAACTCGTTTCCCACGTCCAGGCCATCGTGAAGTGGGAGTCCGGCACCATCACCGCGCCCGCGCTCATCGAGGAGAAGGCGCGGCTGCGCCTGGGCCGCGCGCGGGCCCGCGTGGTCTTCAACGACCTGCTGTCCGGCACCCGCCCGGACAAGGCCGCGGGGATAAGGCTGTGGGTCAAAACCACGGGTACCATTTTGGGGTTGGTGCACCACCCATTTTTTGTTTTAAAGTGGGGATTGGGATGTTCACTGGGGGTACGGGATTTTGACCCATGGCCATAAACCGGATCTTGGGACTTGTTGGCTACTTGGAAGGATTTGTCACCGTTAGCTTGTTGGGAAAAGGTCCCCAAATCCATATTAGCCTTATAAGCAGGTTTTGGATCCTTTCCACCGGAACCCCGAAAAGTGAGTGCCCGTTCCCACAGATGTTCCCTTTGCAGGCACAAGGGAAATATGATATATAATCGCCGTTGAATGGCATGTGTTTGGTCAAAAACATGCTGTATAATATACAGATTAGATATATAGTTGGTTCGGTTCATTTTTAATGGACGGCTGCAAACCACAAAGCTTGTTGCTACCAAGGTGGAAACGTATGGAAGGCGGCCGCCTGCGCTTTTCCCAGCTACTGGCGGGGCGTTCCTTCTCACGCTTTGAGCAATGCTCAGTTGTTCCGCAAGTTCCACCCATGGTCAATCCCAGGAGGGTGCCTTTTAATGAACCCATTGACAAGCCCCCTGGTTCCCATTCTGTCGAGAAACCACTGAGGTTCCCTGGGTTTTGGTTCAGGTGGAGGGCGCCATCGAGGACTACGATGCCGGCATCGCCATCATGGAGGACTTTCCTCACTCCAGCTGCTCCCAAATTTGACTTCTGGTTTCCTCCAGTTTCCCTTCCCATCTTTTGCCGGGGAAGGTTCTGTTGTTTGTTTGTCAAGGAAAGCCAACGGGACATCTACATTGGTAGAGGTTTCGTCTTCCGGTGTCGAACCTTTCCTGTTATTTGTTTTCTGGGTATGCCCCTTTAGGTTGGTTTAAAGGGAAGCCAGTGGATGACCCGATTTGGAATCAGCTGTTGCGACATCTTTTGCGAAGAGCTTCCGTTTTGCAGCTCCAGTTGGCAGCACAGAACAATTGCAAGGATGATCTCAAGCAGCACCCGGACCGCTTGATGTACAGCGAGTACCCCGATGCGCTGGTCAAGCGTGGCTTGGCCAAGGACGCAGGGTGCACCCGAATGCCGGTTGCACAGCTGGTTGGCTGGGAGATGAGGGTTTGCCCGAATGCTGCATGTGCCGATGGTTCTCATTTCAACGCTAGACCATCAATTTGTATTGTGACCAGTGCTGTTTTGAACATGAACGTTGGCCAACGACGGCTTCGCATAGCTCATCATCCAAATCAATCAGTGGGGCATGCAACGGCAACGGACATTCACACCTTTTTGTTGCGGGAAGGGTTCAACCCAAATCAGACATTGTACTTGTGTTTGTTCGGTTTCATGCTTGTTTCTTGCGAGTCCTGCTCTGCCAGTTTGCCTTTCTAACCAGCTCTGTGGGAAAGAACCTCTATTTGCACTTTGCTGTCCTCCACCATGCCCCTGATCTTGACCCAACCGCATCAGTAAACACGGCTGCAGGAAGTTAGACTGAAAGTTGGAAGCTAGTGTGAACCCCGGATTGATCAACCTGCTGGATGGATGGGGGGGGGGTTCGCCGAAGGATCCCCTCTTTTAGACACGCCGCTCTTAGTGAACCAGGAGTTGCTCATCCTCAAACTTCCCCTCCAAATGGTAGTTTACAGGGAAACCGGCCCAAACATAATTTTTGAAACCCCTCAAATGTTCGCCTGGCTATTGGGCTGAAGCTTGCTTCACGGCAATTTTGTGGACAATTAGAAAACGTCAGTCTTTTCAGCTGTATCTCGGCAGATTTGGATCCATGTTTGGACATGTTCCAGTTGAACCTGCCTATTCAAGGCGATGGGGGAAAACGAGCGAAAGCCATGGGATTGGTCCTTGGAGCTTAGCCAGGTGCCAGCCGAATTCCCGATTTTCGTCTGAGGAAACATGTCCAGGCACATGGGACGCCCCAATAGCTTGGTTCCCTTGGGTTCCCTCGCCAGGTTTCGACGAATGGGATCGAGCATGGAAATAGCAGGAGGGGCTCCGGAATTGGCGCGGCGCGGTGGAGGACTACAGCCAGGCCATCGAGGCTTTGAAGCCCAAGGATGGCCGCAGGGACAAGGCGCTGAGGGGCGATGCGCGGATGCAGGAGACGGACTGAAGCCGCTGGCAACTTCGCGTGCGGGCCATTTTTGCAAGCAGCTCTTGGTGACCTTTCAAAGAAAGCCGTGCTGGTTTGCGGAGGGATCAACTTAGTTGTTCAGTTCCCTAGGTCAAGGAGCCAAAATATGCTATTGGATCGGGATGAGTCGGGATGAGAAGCAAAGAGGTTCTGCTAAGCGACGCAAGACAGAATCGCAGTCTAAGAAACGGTTTTGTCGCAAACTCTTGCTGGTTCTCGGCCTTAAGGAAGCGATTGCATATGGTTCACAGGTGTCATTTCCTCATTCCGGAATGTGAGAACCAGCAAGCCATCAGCTTCCCGGTGCCCAGGCCCATCTAAGGCCTTTTCGTTTGTTGCCACTAAAATGTTTCCCCAACCCCCCCCCCCACCAATCCAAACTACTCTTTTGGAAGGGGGTTTTCCCATTTGCCAGGACAAAAGACCGATGGCGACAATTGTAAACGCAGCAGGCAAAAGCTTCGGACACAACCGCCAGGAGGGCGATGGCTTGGGGGCGAACCCCTTGATTCTCAACTTCCGGGGCAACGCGCTGGCGCAGCTCGGGCGCTTCGATGAGGCGGTGGAGGACTATGTGGAGGCCACCCAGATCTTCGACGCGGATGGGGAGGCGCGGCGGTGGGTAGGCCGCATATGGGCGCCACATGGGTGGTGCTAGGTTTGGTTTAGGGTGTGTGTTTTGTGTGTGTGTGTTCTTTTTTTTGGGGTTGGTTGAAAGGGAAGCAAAGAGGAAGATCATTGGATTGTGCATGTTCCTTTGGGTTTTCAGAATGGATGCGCATCCGTTCTGGTGTCGGGGGAATCGAAGCACGCATTTCCACATACATGTTTTCCAACAGTGCCAGTGAGCCGCAATCAACACCCAGGTAGGTGAAAGTTAGTCAGGGATAGTCTCAACCAGAACTGGGTGTAATGTCAGGAGACGATTAGTAAACCCCCCCGATTCAAGGTTCCCCCTTTCCCCCCCAGATTCTCACCAATACTAAAGTAAAGTGCCAACAAGGTTTCGCCAAAAAACCCTACCCAATTATTTTTGGGCCCTCCCCAAAACCCCCCCTGATTAAAGGTATCCCTCTGCAGCCCCCAAGCCAACAAAAACCTGCAAGAAAAGGTGCTTTCCTTCTTGCTTAGCATTTGCTTAGTATTTGCTTAGTCTGTGCTTAAAACCCACTAATACTAAGTCACTAGTGAACCCCTCAGGTTTTTCCCAAAAATGTGCTTCCCCCGAAATGCATTTTTCTTTATGACAATTTGTGTAAAATGAAGGTTTTCAAGCTCACAAAGGGGAACCCCCTTGGAGGCCAGCCCCCCCTCATTAACAGGAACCCCCCCGCGTTTAATCAGGGCCCTTTTGGGCTCAAAACCAAAAATTGTGCTGTTGCCTTTTAAAGTCCTACTGCCCCGAAGGGACCAGAAGTAAGAGGACGAGGACCGAAGGGGCTCCAGAGTAATCAGGGGGGTCCTCCCAAAAATCTCAATTTTTGGGACTTGTCCAAACCTTGTTGACCTTGAAGGGGGGGGGGGGGCGGAGGGGGGGTTTACTAATCAGTTGTCACCATTAGCCGCCTTGTCAATGCTTTACATGGTTACATCTAATACCACTTGTTGATTATGACTCAAGTGGAGGGTTGTTAAAGTCGATGTTTTTCAGATGGCATCCATGATTGATTGCTGGAAAGACGGGTCATTACCCCTTTTGACCAGCAACTATCTTTTTTTGGAGGGGACCGAAGTCTGACTAAGTTGAGTTCTGCATCCCGCGGTGGGTCGCTTGAAGTGAACTGTTTGAAAGCGCGTAGCGCCTGCCAAATTGGGTGGCGCCGAAACACGAAAGGCTTCCCTAGCACTGAAGACCAAAGAAAAACCAGAAAAGAAAAGACGCTCCTGCATGTCGACTCTTCTCCTGTTCGAGTTGTGCTCTATTGTGCTCTAACGCAACCGGCTCCTCGTTCTGCCGACGGGACCGGGCTTCAGGGTGTTGTGAGGTGCGGCAGGCCTCGCTGTCGCGGGCCAACGCGGGCCTGGCGCTCTTCGGCGCTGGGCGGGACATCGAGGCCATACGGTTCATGGAGCAGGCAGGGTGGACGGGGGGTTGAGGCTTGGGCGGCTTGTGCGGTTTCCCGCCAAAGGGCGCTCTCCAAAAACAGGGGTGTCTAAATGCAATCCTTTTTGAGGCCAGATGGCTGAGGCTGGGTCCAACTTGGTGCGTTGGCGCTTCCCGTGCCAATGAAAAGGTACGTCAGTGGTCCCCGCATGTGGGCATTTGCCTAAACAGAACATGTGCTTTTCCCTTGATCCCACCCTGCAAAAAGGGCGCGCTCAAAGCCACGACCAGTGACGAGCTCACAGCCGTAGGTGGTGCGCAACGACCCCGGTGTCACGGACGCGCACGTGGCGCTGGCTGCGTGGTATTGGTCCAATGCCAGGCCTGCGGAGGCGGAGAGCCAGTGGCAGTTCGCTTGCGACCAGATCTCCACTGGCTGCCAGGCCTACAAGGCCTGGGGAGACACCTGGGTCACGTGGGCCTGCCTCAACATACGGACCCGGAAGTTGGGCTTTCCCTTTAGATTCCATGGAAGATGTTCAATCTGCCAGCGTCGACGGACTCCGCACCTTGTCAAATATTCTGCATGTTTGACTCCGGGCACATTCTGAGCCCACACACTTCACTTTTCGGAAGCACCGGGCTGCCCTGGTTGAACGCCAAGCTTCCGCTGGGCAAAACGCAAGTTGCGTTCAGTTCCTACGTTTCGTCCAACAATTTGGCGAAATTCAGGTTACCCCAACCAGGTTCCAAAAAACGGGTTGCGCCAAAGGAGGTTCATGGCGTGGCATGCCAAAAACCATTTGTTAGCTGTTCAATGGGTCAACAAATGATCATGCGCACTGGATCGGCTCCCAACATTTGGTTCAACGACTTGAGCGTGCTTCCTTTGAGGATACATGCGCTGTGCGTGAAAATTGAATGCTAAGGAGAAGCAAGAAACCGGTAGAACTGGACTCTGTGCACGTATTCGGCTCTTCCGCATGTGCGCATGCTCCGGCCGCGTTTTTTTTTTTTTTTTTTTTTAACGTGGCGTGAGGGAGAGAGAGAGAGAGAGAGAGAGAGAGAGAGAGAGAGAGAGAGAGAGAGCGAGAGGGGCTGGTATTTGTCGAGTCCTTGGCGCCGTGTTATCAGTTTCAGGGCCAACCAAGAGGATGCCTGATGCGTGGCCCGAACAACTTGTCCGAGTTCGACGGGGATTCAGATAAGCCGAGCTCGCCCCTGATGATGGTTTCTTGCTTGGGAACCCCTTTAGTTCAAGTTTGGGAAATATGGCAAGTTGCTCAGACTCATTTATTTGGAGCAGCAAAGCCGAAAAGACTTGGCGCACGGCAAGAGGGGTCTCGATCGCAGTGGCCTCGATGGTTTGATGCGTTGAATGCCACGTTAGGCCATGTCATCACCGCATGGCATGGATGGAACTGTTTGCGTGGCACAACGGCCTTGGTTTCTGTATCAGCACGTCCTACATTTCCCCCCCAAAAAATAAATTAATGAAAGAAACACAAAGAAAGAAACAGAGAGTTGGTTTCCTTTTAGCTTACCTTTAGAGCAACCCACGCCCTTTAAAGTCAAGCAACATATTGGTTGATCGCTCCGTAAGCAACAGGTGGGCTCTATATTTGGGAAAAAAGCAAAGGTGTGCAGTGGTTTTCCCCTAGAAGGGGATCAAACGAAGGGGTCCAGCGGTCCGACTCCGCAAGGACATGAAGTGGCTAAAGGAGGTCCGGCGCTGGCCTCCGTCGCTTGTCTCCTCACTGCAGGACTTCCTGGCCAAAGTCAGCTAGGTCTCCTGGGGCAAAAGTCGCGCCACTGCGCCAAGGGAATCCCCTTCAAAGAGCAGTCATGGGAATGGGCCGTGGGGTTGTGAAAATTCCGAGCCCTTTGAAAAGGCACAAACATATTCCGCGCGGCAAAGAAGGCGGACGCGGCGGTCTTCGCCTATATTCATGAGGTGATTTGGTTTAATTGTGTAAAAACCCGTTCCAACTGTTTTTTTTGTTGAGGGTACTGTTTTTTGGGAAGCGGGGAGGGGGTGCATGTGGAGACAAACCCTAAGCATGGAAGGTACGCCTAAAATTCAGCTGTGTATGTAGAAACCATTGCTGCAACAGCTTGGAAAGGTTGTTTTTAATTGGCCAAAATGTATCCTTCAAGGAACCCTGTGAAATCATGCAATGCCACAAGGATGGGCGTATGTGTCAAGACAGAAATTTGGACCTCAAAAAAAGGTGTCCATTGTCTTCCCTTTAAATCAACCTCGAGAGTACCAACATGACAACTTGGGGAACCCCAAAGTGAGTGGTTCCATTTGGCTTCCCTTTGAAACAAACCAAGAAGGCTACCCACAAGAAATGCCATCCAGGTGAGTATGTGTCAATGTGCAAAGGGGAGTCTCCCCTAAATTGCTGGTTTGATTTGGCTTCCATTTTGGGCCAAGGTGAAACGGGTACCATCAAGAAGTACACACCCTAGGAACACACGGGGATTGGCTAAGTGTCCTACTTTTGGACCTCCGAAAGTGGCATTCGTTGGAATCTACTAAAAAGTTGCACCTTTGAACAAGGGGGGGGGCATCAGTGTAATTTGGTCAAACTGCCCCCTATGAATCCAGCAGCTTGGTAACTCCGGGTCGGCACCAGGTAGGGACCCACGCCCACAAAAACTACCTCATTTGCTCAAAATCAGCTGGTATTTGGGTGATGTCGTGACTGGCCCGAAATGCATCTTTGAGAAAACCATAGCCTGATGGCCGGACTACGCCATCCACCTTGAGTGATCCTCGCAAAATATGTTGTCCAGGATTTGGGTTGGTCCAACGAATCCTTAAATCATCATCCATTTGAAGCCGTTTTCCCCTGGTTCTGATTGATTTGCTGGCCAGGCTCGCACTATCACCAGCTGCGCTTGGCCGAGAAGCTGGCGCCTCAGCGGCCGAAAGGCTGGAGAAGAATCGGAAGGACCCACCAGATGTAGATATGGAAGCTTTTAGAAGTTTTGAGGACTGAAAAGAAGATCAAGAGGCCAACCAAGATCCGAGCCTCAAGGAGATGGCACACTGTGACTTGATATTTTCCATCCAGCTTCACATGTCGCTGCACCCGAAGCCTTCGAACAAAGCTCCTTTTTGTATAAGGGGAGGGTTGCATCCACTGTATTATAGTCTCAGTCTTCGAGTTTTAGCAGGAGCGACTCTGGCAAGCAGCTTCCAGCAGCCACAGTGAGTAATGATCAAACAGTGACGTTGCCCAACTGTTTCTGAGGATTCGGTTAGGAGCAGGACTAGCCACGTTTGCATGCGGAAGTTTTCCGGAAGAGAGCCTTCGATGGACTACGGGCAGCGACACCAGTCCTAGACGGATTTCGCTACTGGGGAAACGGGCTTCTCTGGGCCTTTAGCCTTTGACAAATCGTGATGTTGGATGTTGATTCCATGTCTTGCCGCATCACTCAGTCCGGCTACCATCCTTGAAGTGGCTACGCAGTGATTGTACCAACCCCCAACCAACCCCAAACCAAACCCAACCCCCTGGTTTGGCGGTTTGGCCTTGGGACACCTCCGAGGGCGGCGGAGCTGAAGCCCGAGGAGGAGGGCCAACATACCATCTTTGCAGCTTGGACTGAAGCTCAAATCGGCACCCTTGCCAGTTTGGAGCCCCACCACGCCATGAGCCATGAGTTGCGGAAACCGCACGTTGAACGGACTCCTTTTGAAGATCCATGTCAACATGCAGGGGGGTCGCCGCGTAGCCTTTTGGTTGTTCCTTGTTTGATCATGCTTAGTCAGGGCCCTTCCTAAGGTGGATCTGTTGTTAGGTGAGGAAGGGAAAGAGACGGATGTTGTTGTTTCTCCTGGAAGCGAGCTGCACGCTCTAAGATTCTGGCTCTGGATGCAACAGTTGCCAGCTGATGGTCCCATAGAAACGGCTGCCCCTAGTCTGTTCAAAGGCAATCCTGAGTCCTTACCTTGGGTTACGAACGGTGTCGCCTTAGTGGTTCTCTTCAGCTCTTCCATGGGCATTAGTCTTTTGGATTGGCCACTCCTTTTTTATCAGCTCAGTTTGCTACGCGGTTCCTTTCCGGTGATCGGTCAGGTCTCCAACCTTGACTGGTCCAGGCCTCAACTGCCACAGGGAGCTTTCAGGCATCCGGGTTTTTGAGTCCTGGTTCCTGCGGAGGGCAAATGGACAAGGACCAAACCACAAATCCAAGGCACTAAACACTAAATAGAGGGAAGCTGAAAGGGGGGTAAAGCGAGCTCCTTCGCCAGTGCAGCAACGCCCGGATGGTGAGCAACATCCATGATTGTGAGCCCAGTGTTTAGATGTCGCTGTCCTTCCAGGGTCCGTGGGTCTTTCAAAGACTCCACAGACACCAAAACGCCTTAGTGGAAGCAGGTTGCGGGATTTTCTGGGCGCTAAGAGCCAAGGGGCACTTGGAGAAGGGGAAATTTGGGTGCCGTTTGATTCGGCGTTTTTGAACAAACAGCGCAAGGCCATGCCCCCCCCCAACACACGGACTGCGCCTTTCCTCTGGTTTCATGGGACCCTGACCGACCAGCGGACTGATTGCTACCACTGACAGTACTACAAAGCTCCTTGATGTTTCAGGTGCTGGGTTGGCCAGTTGTGTGCCAAAAATGGCAAGCGGCTTAGGTCTGTGGATGAAGCGGTTCTCTACCGCATCTTCCAGGATGTGTGTGCCCAAGTTGCCCTGCAAGTTGCTCTGCAAGTTGCGATGCGCAGGTTGGATGATTGCATGCCTCCATGCTTGGTGTTTTTGGGCTGCATGTGCATGGAAGTCACGCATCAATTTACGCCCATGACTTTTGCCAGGCCATGTGTAGCACAGTCAGCACGCGCATTTGAATTCGATGCATCTGATATTTTTTCGGGCATCTGCACTGTTGACGCTTCGGCCCCGTCCCTTGTGGCTCGCTCAGTTTTGGGTCCGCAGCTGGAGGTTGCGAAGACCTATTTTTTGGGTTAAGCTTTGCTAAGGCAGCCGAAAAGTCAGCCACGGTTGCCACACCCAGTATTTTTTTGGATTCAAGGACCAAGGCCGACCAGCTTCGCCACAGCTCGAAGAAAAAGCGAGCCAGGCCAAGTCCACTTCGCGCCTGCCTTTCTGCGACCCACGGCCATGGGGAAGATCATGCCCTTGCCTGCTCAGTGTTTGAGCATGCGGCTCAAAATCGTTGCAGATGAGCGCCCTGGCTGCAACTTAACGGGCCAAAAGGATTTTGCCCCGGAAGTTCAGAGCGAGTTCCCGTAAGTATGGGCTCTCTTCGGAACATGCCAGTGATTTCTCGACCCTGTTTCAGGGTGTTGGATTTTGCTTGACATATTGACATACTGCCGTTAAGGTGCATGTGTTATCTCTGAGCAGTTTGTTTGATATCTAGGAATCACGCTGCACCGTGCGCGGCGGGACCAGGATTTCTGGTTTGAGGGCTGCTCAATGTGGGACTAGCTGCAAAGCGCCTGGCCATCTTAGGTTCCACTTGCTTGAGGCCGCCAATATAAACCTTTAAGGCTATGTTGGTCAACGGGTTTCGGAGCTCTCAGCGTTTGGGGGTGTCCATGGTCCCCCAAATTGGGCTCTTCTTGGTGTGACGCGGGGGGCAGCGGCTTTTTTGGGCTTCGCAGGTATTCCTCCTGGGCTGCGTACTTGCCGCGCACCAGCGGGACGCCAGATGAGAAGGATCCATCGACTCCGAAAGCGTTGGACATCCTTTCGGGACCCCAAAATGGCTAGAATGCGCGCTGTGGGCCAGCCGGATGACGCACGACAACAGAAAACAAGAAAGCAAGCCGGGCAAACCGCCGGTGCTTTTTTTCCGCTGTTTTCGTGCTTTCGCCGTTGGTCAGTTTTCGCGGTTCTCGCCTTTTTCGCCGCTCGTGCCGTCTTTAAAGCTGACTGCGTTCTATTGCGATATTTGTTGTCGAATGCCTCCAGGTTCCTTTCTCCGTTTTCGGCGTTTTCGCGCTTCCACGGTGTCATTCGCAGGGCCTGGGACGCCCCAATTGCAATCCGCTGCAAAATGGTTGCCATATAAAAAAGACAAACACACTTTGCAGTGGGTGAGGAGGCTAACGCCTCCCTCTCGGACTTCGTTGGCAGCCAGGTCACAGGCACGGTGGGTGCAGGGTGGGGGCTGCTATGGTTTGTTCGACGGAGGCGACCTTTACCATCGGAGAGTAGGAAACCGGTTTAGGTTACATCGGAATGCTCAACCCTCCTCTGTATCCCTTTTCGGCTTGCAGGATTCTGGCAGGTCCGGCAGGCATCATTGCACGTGCTCGTTTCAGCAAGCCGCTCAGCAACATGATCCAGAATTAGCTTGTCCCTTGTTTGTTGGCCATTCATTAGTGCCCGCCGCATCCTGCGCTTTGTTTGCCTGGCTTGCTCACATCCATCTCACCGTTTAGTCATTGAACAGTGCTCGTCGAGCTCTCCCATGATGACATGAATTGTAGCAATTTGATCGTGCACCGTGCTCAGATTCCTTGTTTGGGTCATATCTGAATGCAGGGGGCAGGAGCCTTCCGGTTCTCGCGAGGCCATGTTTGGCAGCTCTCGCTGCGGCAGCGTGGTAGCCGAGCGGTGCAGGACGCGTGTGTTGAAGCCAACGGTGTTCGCATGTAATTTCATCGTATTGCTTATTCCCAGCCCCGAAGTAATGTATGGAAGGGGGATTCCCCCCAGAATGGACCTTTCTTTCCATTGCATTTCCCCTTGGTGGGTATTGGGTGGGTCCAGGTTTTCTTGATGTTTTCTCGCCCTGGGCCGGCGGTAGTGCGCCGGACCAGTGCATTGGCATACGTGCACCCTGTAGATCATTCCACGACAACAAAGCTTACAGTACCCTCCCAAAAACAGACATGCAACCTCAAGAGGGTCCCTTCTAGAGGAAACAGGTTTTCCAGGAGCACTCCTTGAACCGCCTCTACTAATTTGACTAATGCTGTCAATGCTCACTCAGAGTTGGCCATACCACGCTTTCATCAAGCAGTTTCCAATGTCCGCATATCCGCAAGCAACAGCTATATGCACACGTCCACAAGATGAGAAGACGAATCCCGGACAAGCGAATGTGTTAGCCCATCTCGGGCAAAGAACTTCAACGCCCACCGTGGCACCTTTGTCCATTCGGCTCATACGGCGCTATGAGGAAGATGCTGTGTGGGTTGGGCGATGGTTTCAAGGCCCCTTGACCGAAGAACCTGCTGTTGTATACGACCCGCTCTCTACCTGTCCAGTGGGCTGACGCCGCATCTTCCGCCTTCCCAGGACGCCATCGACCTTTGCAGCAGCGACCAGGAACGAGAAGCGATTGCCGGCGAGCTGGCAGGGCACATTTGGGAGGCCCGGTGGTTTCGCTTGATGCTCTCAAGCCTTGGCCTTCCAAATTGAAAACACTGGTTTTAGACATCACCTTTTGGCTGCCACTTCTAGGTAGGGTTGCCTCTTGGTTGGATGTTTAAGGCTCCAAGGGTGGAACATAGGGAGCCCTGCCTTTCTACCACGTTTTGGCTTGGGTAGTTTGCTTTTCCTTGCTTGTCGAGGGCGAGCTTTTGAGGCTCGGTACCCTTTTCAGGTGGGTTTAAGAACAACGGAACACTTCTTCCTAGCTTGTTCAATACCTAATCCCCAATGATTTGCAAATTGCGGATTGTGCGGTTTACGGATTGGATTTTGCGGCTTGCGGATTATGGGTTGCACGGATTGTCCAAAGCATCAAGCGATATTACGCGGATTGTGGATTGCGATTAGGCCCCGCAGGAATTCGATCAAGCCAGACTTCCATTTGGGTCCCACTATGCCTCATGGGCATTGCCCCTCATTCATTTGACAAGCCTTCGATGTTGAGTCCAGCCGCCCTGCAATTGCTATATGGGAGTCCCCTGCCTCTGGATGCGTGGAATTGATTCCCACTCCTCGTTGGAGGCTTGGGCATCCCGTTTTGCACTGCAGGGGCCTGGGAGTGCTGATGGTTATCACTGATTTGATGGGCCCATGCGCCCATTGACTTGAACGATGCTTGAGGCTGAGGCGTTGGCAGAGACTTTCAAATTATTGAGATATATTGCGTACGGTCCTATCGCGCCAGAAAGGTTATTAGACGGAGTGGTGGCGTGGTTGGGAACAAACCGAACTCTGTGATGTCCAAGTATCCAAGTCTGTTTCCCAGCCATATGACTGCTGGATCTCACTTTAAGTATTTGTATCACAGAAAGTGACCCTAAACCCACATTTCCACAATCACGGTTTCTTGAGATGTTCTCAGCTGGGTTGAACATTGGGCAGGGGGTTCCCTCTAAGCCGTGCGTGGCTTCGGACCCACTTGTGTACATGAAAGCAACAGCATGTTTCCCCCAAGAAATGTTCAACCACTTCTTGTACGTGAAGCCAAAGGCCACGGCTCCCGAAAGCCGCCCCCGGCCGAACTGCTTGGCACAGGCTGTGCGGTGCCCCCACGCCAACTTCGTGGTGCAGCGTCTCATCACGGCGCTCAGGCCTGCCGCCTGCCAGCCACGGGCCTAGCTGCAATCGGACGCCCCCAAAACACACCAGGGTCCACCAGGGCGGTTCTCAAGCTTGTTGTTGTTGTTGTTGTTTGTTATGTTTTATTTGTTCCATTTGTTTTTTTTTGGGGGGAAGGGGGTTTCTCCAGCGCGTTTTTTCCCGAATGCGTAGCATTGGGTTCTCGTTTCATCTTGGGGGTCTGGGGGTGAAGCCTTGTTCGCCGGATGTTGTGCAACCGTTCGCAACCGTCCGCAACCGTTCGTATGATTGCGCTATGGCTCTCGCAGTGGGGAAGCGCAGAACGCGTGAGCTTGATGACTTGGGATGTGCTGGTTTCGTTGGTCCTGTGCGCGAATCGTAGCTTCTCAAGCTCGACGTGTCGTTTCGCTGCGCAGGCGCAGTGTTTTGGAAGTCTGCGTGTTCTCGTTGCCGTGCCAGTGGGATTTGCGATCCAGGGGTGGTCGTTTTGAGGTGTCTTACTTGGCAGGCGCGTGGTAGTATTTGTGCCGGCGCCGTTTTCGTTGGCCCTGTCGTACAATCGGCTCGTTTTGGCGAGCCTGAAACATATCAAAATTCGTCGAAATCATTCTGGCGCCACAGTCCCGTGCTAGTTTTGGATGCGTGTCGTAAACGTGTCAAAGTTGGATTTCGTGGCAGGTCCAGCAGTTTGGATGAATTGAGTTCGCGGTGTAGATTTTGTGGCAGGCACGTCACTTTGACTCAGCGAGCTCGCTCTCGCTGTGGCGCGGTGCACATTTTGAGAACGCGAAGCGAACCCTCTGCGCACTTTGGGTGGGCCGAATCGCTCTCGCTGTGGTACGGTGCGCATTTTGAGCATGCGAAGTGAACCCTCTGCGCACTTTGGGTGGGTCCAATTGCTCTCGCTGCGCATTTTCAGCGCGCAAAGTGAACCCTCTGCGCACTTTGGGTGGGTCGAATCGCTCTCGCTGTGGCGCGGTGCGCAGTTGGAGACAGAAGTGTCTCGTTCAGAAGTGTCGATCACATGTCCATTACAAGTGTCGTTCAGAAGTGTCGATTAGAAGTGTCGTTCTGAAGTCTCGATCAAAAGTGTCGCTCAGAAGTATCGGTCGGAAGTGTCAACAGAAGTGTTGCTCGGAAATGTCAACAGAAGTGTTGCTCAGAAGTGTCGGTCAGAAGTCTCGAACAGAAGTGTTGCTCAGAAGTGTTGCTCAGACGTGTCCCTCAGAAATGTTGTCAGAAGTGTTGATCAGAAGTGTTGCTCAGAACTAGATCTCTCGATCAGATCAGAAGTGTGGATCAGACGTGTTACTCAGAAGTGTCAATCAGAAGTCTGGTTCAGAAGTATCGCTCACAAGTGTCGCTCAGAAGTGTCAGTCAAAAGTGTTGATCAGAAGTGTCGAACAGAACTGTTGCTCAGAAGTTTTGATCAAAAGTGTGCTCAAAAAGTGTTGCTCAGGGGTATCGCTCATTGCTCAGAGTCGGTCAGAAGTGTCGCTCAGGAGCGTCGCTCATGTCGCTGAGGTATGTGGATATGTGTGTAGAAATGTTGCTCGAATTGTCGCTCAGGCAGCATGTGTTGCTGATGTGTGTGTGTGTCTGTGGCTCTGATGTGTCGCTCAAAGGTGTTTTCAGAGTCTCGCTCAGGAGTGCCGCTCAGTCTTGCCCAGAAGTGTTGTTCCGGGGTGTCGCTCAGGAGTGTCGCTTGGCGGCTCAAAAGTGTTGCTCGGAAGGGTCGGTCGGAAGTGTCGATGAGCAGTGTGGATCAGAAGTGTTGAACAGAAGTGTGGATCAGAAGTGTTGCGCAGAAGTGTCGCTCTGAAGTATCGATCTCGATCGTGGTGCCGGTCAGAGGTGTCGATCAGCAGTGTCGAATCAGCAGTGTTGCTGTGAGGCGTGTGTCAGAAGAGTTGCTCAGAAGTGTCGGTCAGAAGTGTCGATCAGAAGTGTTGCTCAGAAGTTTTGATCAAAAGTGTGCTCAAAAAGTGTTGCTCAGGGGTATCGCTCATTGCTCAGAGTCGGTCAGAAGTGTCGCTCAGGAGCGTCGCTCATGTCGCTGAGGTATGTGGATATGTGTGTAGAAATGTTGCTCGAATTGTCGCTCAGGCAGCATGTGTTGCTGATGTGTGTGTGTGTCTGTGGCTCTGATGTGTCGCTCAAAGGTGTTTTCAGAGTCTCGCTCAGGAGTGCCGCTCAGTCTTGCCCAGAAGTGTTGTTCAGAGGTGTCGCTCAGAAGTGTCGCTTAAAAGCTCAAAAGTGTTGCTCGGAAGTGTCGGTCGGAAGTGTCGATGAGCAGTGTGGATCAGAAGTGTTGAACAGAAGTGTGGATCAGAAGTGTTGCGCAGAAGTGTCGCTCTGAAGTATCGATCTCGATCGTGGTGCCGGTCAGAGGTGTCGATCAGCAGTGTCGAATCAGCAGTGTTGCTGTGAGGCGTGTGTCAGAAGAGTTGCTCAGAAGTGTCGGTCAGAAGTGTCGATCAGAAGTGTTGCTCGGAAGTGTCGCGCAGAAGTGTCAGTCTGAAGTGTTGCTCAGAAGTGTCCTTAGAAAATAATCGATTTCAGCAGTATTGCTCAGAAGTGCCGCTCAGAAGTGTTGACCAGACGCCCAGAACTGTCGACCTAGAAGCGTGGATCAGAAGTGTCGATCCGAAGTGTGGATCAGAAGTGTCGATCAGAAGCAGAGGTGTCGCTCTGAAGTGTCGATGGGCAGTGCGCTTTTTCTGATCGACACTTCTGAGCAACACTTCTGATCAACACCTCGGACAACACTTCTGAGGGATATTTCTGAGCTTCTGATCGACACTCCTGGTAGAAAATTCTGAGCGACACTTCTGACCGACACTTCTGATCGACACTTCTGACCGACACATCTGACACACGCTTCACAGCAACACTGCTGATTCAACACTGCTGACAAACACCTCTGACCAACACCACGATCGAGATCGATACTTCAGAGCGACACTTCTGAGGGAGCAACACTTCTGACCAACACGTCTGATCCACACTGCTTATCGACACTTCTGATCGACACTTCTGATCAACACTTCTGGTCAACACTTCTGATCCAAACTGCTCATCGACACTTCCGAGCAACACTTTTGAGCAACACTTCAGATCGACACTTCGGAGCTACACTTCTCAGCGACACTTCTGACCAACGCTTCTGGCACTTCTGATCCACACTTCTGATCGACAGTTCTGAGCAACACTTCTGACCAACACTTCTGATCCACACTGCTCACTGACACTTCTGAGCAACTCTGCTGAATTGACACTTCTGAGCTGCACTTCTGAGCGACATTTCTGTCAAACACTTCTGAGCAACACTTGTGAGCGACACTTCTGACCAACACTTCCAACCGACGCTTCCGAGCAACACACCTCGGAGTTACAATTCTGAGCGACACTTGTCGCTTAAAAGTGTCCTCAGAAGTGTGAATCAAAAGTGTTGCTCAGAAGTGTTGCTCGCGCTGGGAAGTCGCAACTTTGTAGTGCATGTCTAGTGCGCGAAGTACAGGTTTCCAGCTCTAGCTGTAAAATCGCAACTTGGTAGTGCAAGTCTAGCGCGCGAAGTGCGGGATTCCAGCTCTAGCTGAGAAATCGCAACTTTGTGGAACCAGTCGTGTATGATTGCTCAGAAGCGTCGATCAGAAAAGCTGTCGCTCAGAAGTGTTGCTCAGAACTGTCGATTAGAAAACGTGTGGTTCAGAAGTTTCTTTCCCTGGGGGGGGGAAAGGGTTCCTTCACCACCAGGTGGTTCCGCTTCCAATGCCGCTTCGCCGCTTTGAAATTAAGCAGCAGCGGGCCACTAAAGGTTAATGATTGGATCGGACGACTTGTTACAACGGAAAGAGGATTCAGGACAGACCACGCCTCACCCACTTGGGGAACTGGATTTGGTGAGAAGCTCCTGTTTCTTCTTGAGGGGATGCAGGTCCTCCACTTTTGCTCTTGTTGACACCAGTAAGTTGCAACTAAAGAGCAAGTTTAGCGACGCCTCAACATAGGAACAGTAGGGCCCTTATGACCATATTGGCATTCTGCCAGAAGCCAACGGAGTTTGGGCGCTCAGTTGAAGCTTTTGCTTGGTGCCGTGGCTCTTTGCCAAGAAGTGTACATTCATGTGTCTCTGTGTGTGTGTGTGATTGTCTGTCTGTCTGTCTGTCGGCCTGCCTGCCTGCCTGCCTGCGTGCCTGCCTGCATGCCTGCCTGCCTGGCTGGCTGGCTGTCTGTCTGTTTTGCTGCCTGCCTGCCTGCCTGCCTGCCTGCCTGCCTGTTTGTCTGTCTGTCTGTCTGTCTGTCTGCCTGCCTGCCTGCCTGCCTGCCTGCCTGTCTGTCTGTCTGTCTGTCTGTCTGTCTGTCTGTCTGTCTGTCTGTCTGTCTGTCTGTCTGTGTTTTTAGTTTGTTTGTGTTTGTTAGTTTGTTAGTTAGTTTGTTTGTTTGTGTTGTTTTGTTTTTCGAGGGCGCCTTTTTGGTGTTGGAGGGGGTTCTCCCGTTTTGACATGCCCGTGCAGACTTGGAGTCGCAGTTGCCACAACTTCAGCTTCCATGTGGCTGTTTGGTGGAGGCTGTTTGGTCAGATGGTGATCCAAACAGGGCTTTTTGGTCAAGTTTAGGTTTCAACACGCTGCTGCTGCTGCTGCTGCTGCTGCTGCTGCTGACTGTGATGGCTTTTGAACATGGAACAAGGTTTTTCCTGACGGAGCACAAGCTTTGCCAACATGAGCATGGTTTGCCTCGAGAAGGACATCGTGTTGCTTTCTCTTGCCTCCCACGTGCAAGAAAGTGAGGCTCATGACTCATTACCTGTGTTTAGACGAGGTACGGAACGACACACGGCGGGGCAAAGTGTTCAGCGCCCACTGGCCATGACTACACGAAGCATCGTTTATCAAATCAATATCGTGGTTCATCAGGCCTGAATCCTTTGGAAGGTGTCTGCCTGTTTCGGCCAAGGTTCATCATAGATGAGATCATGCGGCCTGGATCGAAGAGCGTTGGCTACTTGGCGAGGCTGGGCGAAGTGCGTGGCTGGGAGAGTGGGTTCGTGCTTGCAATCTTGCGTGCGTGCGCGGGCGAGCAGGCAGGTGGCGGGCGGGCAGGCGAGCGGGCGGGCGTCCGTGCGCCGTGTGTGTGTGTGTGTGGTGTGTGTATTTGTTCCTCATTGTCTATGTGTGTCAGGCATTTATTAATTTTCGATTGAGGGCTGTTCGCGAAAAGCAATGGCCCTCCAGCCTTTCAGAGCGAGCTTGACTTAAAGCCCCTTAAGCGCGGTCCTGGATGAAGCGGATGCGCTGTCAGCTGTCAAAGGATGCCAGACTGAGCCTTAGCTCACGTAAAGTCAAACCTGTGGAGGCAGCCCAATGCCAGAGTTTTCCAAAGATGCCCGTTCGCGATGTGCGAGGACAAATGGCTGCTGATGGTTGCTGGTCAAACCATTGTTGGCTCCTTCGAGGCAACCTCAAACACTCAAACGGGCTTCCACGTTTGGGGTTTTGCCAGGCACAAATATGGCTGCCGTACCTTGCAGCGACTACTGGAGAAATGCAGCCAGCAGCAGACTCTGCCAATCGTGGAGGGTCTGCTGTCGGAAGTGGTTCCTTTGCCCCCTGGCGTTGCCTTTGGGTGGGCGGCGGCCAGCAGAACGACAACCCGGGCAAAGGCCGTGTTCCTGATGCAAACATACTCTGTAAGTCGGAAACTTGCGAATGGTCAACCGCATGATTTTGTCAACGCCATGAGTGCCAGCCAGTAAGCCAGTGGCCCTAGAGTTTGGCGACCCACAGATCCCAAATTTTAACCACCCCGCCGGGTCTGTTTTTTCTCCGTTTTTTCCATATAGTCAGGATCTGAGTCAGGATCTGAGTCAGGATCTGGCATTGTTGGGGTCGAAGTGAAGTGCCTTGTGAAGTTGTTGCATGACTGCATTTGACCAAATGTTGACCTTGGGGGGCTGGCAAGGTCAACGCCCACTTCAGCTGCATGCGGACTTGACAGGTTGTTGACCTTCTGTTTGTAGCGGGGGAGAGAAATGAAAGTGGTAATGTGAACGTCCACTCTGACCGATTGCAGACTCGCGAACATGTTGGTTTTCGGTCAGAATGTGCGGAAGGAGAACCTTAGCGTCTTCTTAAAGTGCCTGCAGCATGTGATCCACTATGCAAATTGGCGATGAAGAGTGGCCGTTGAACAGATTGCTACATGGTGCTTCTTCGCTCTGGATGACCCACGAAAGCACGATCTTTGGGGTGGGTGGCTGACGAGTTTTTCCTAGCTAACATGGTGAATTTCAATAAGGGCCCCTTTGGTGGACATCATTTGGGTGGGGATTCATGTCCACTGCGGTGGTTCCCGAATTGAGATTCATCGCCATTCCACCCGACCTCTGTCCGAGCGGACAGAGGTCGCGGCATCCATACGGGAACTACGTGGTTCAGCAGCTCTTCGAGCACGCCAGCAGCCAGCACAGGAGCTCTGCAGTCCAGAAGCTTCTGCGGAACGCCGAGATCTCAGATCCAAAAGGTCTCCCTCATGGAAAAGAACCTCAAAATGGGTAGCTTTCTTGGGGTGGCCTTGAACACCACACCAAGAAAGGTACCACCATGAAAATGACACACCCAAATGGATGGCTCGTTTTTGAGAGTTAGCGCCCTTGTCCTTTGTGTTACAGTTTCCATTGATGTTGGGATCCCCCCAGTTTGACACACGCCCAACTCCTGGTGAAAACCTAAAGGACTCCTAGCGCTCAGATCTTTCCATGCCTCCGTACTTCGAACTGCTTGGGACATGTCGCAGGCTGGTGCCATTTGGCAGCGGCCCTGTGTATCCAATCTTGGCGTGTCATGTATAGAATGAGTGTAGGGGGTGTAGCAATGAGTAGTACGGAAAGCACCTTTAGGATTTTTTCCACAAGGCGCGGGTCAAACTGCAATTCCTCCTCGGCTGTTGCCCGGTTGCTAAATAGCCCATGCAAGCCCACAAGGAGACCAATTTTCTGGTTGTGGGAAGCACTTGACTGATCAAAGCACATTTGGGTAAGGTTCCTTAAGGTTCAAAAGTTGAAGACTGCCAGACCTATGTTTTCGGACGACACGGATCAGGTAGCCTTGGTGGGCGCTGACTGCAATGGCGGCGCGGTCCTGCTCAAGGCCATGACCAACGCCTCCCCGGAGGAGCTGAAACGATCCGCCAACCGCTCCGGGTTTTGGCCATGAATTCAAACTGGGAACCCTATGATGGACATCATTTCGGTGGGGAGTCGTGTCCACCAACCATTTTGGAGGTGCTTCCCGAATTATGGAGGTTCATTGCCAAGTCATGTGCCTGCCGATGTTTTGGGCGAGCCAAGATCGGGATATAGCAATGAAGATGCTTCATGTAAAAATCCATTCTTTATGGTTTTGGATTTTTTGGTCACGCATGTGTGACCCTCCTGTCAACGGACCTGGATGCGGACAGGGAGATGAAAAGGCATCACGTGCGTTCTTGCTTTTGTCCTATGACGACACTCAGTAGCTCATAATTTTGCACGGTTTCGATGGACATTAGTTTTCGCACGCGTGCGCGCAAACGGTAGACACAGCCTTGTGCACACAGGCGGCTGTCCCTGGGGGCCCCAAAACTGGTTTTCCTGGTGGTTTCCCTTCAAAGCAAGGTGAACAGGGTACCCTCAAACAAGAAACATATTTGCCATTTCCACAAATGCGACTCTTTCGATGGCTTTGGCATTTGGCAAGGAAGACAATGGTCAAGGGAAGCTTGACCCCAGCACGCTGTCCCAAACAAAATCATCACCCCGACACTTATTTGCCATTTCCACAAATGCGACTCTGGCAGAGGCGACGACGGTCAATGGATGCGTGCTGGCCAAAAATGTTCACGAAGAAGTTCGAGTGAACCTTGATCTGGGCAAATCATGCAGACCCACATGTTACCAACCACGCACATTCAAGGGAAGTCTGCTCTTGAAGGCTCAAATGATATAAGGTTTTGAAGGCGAACCCTAGATAGTCAAGTCCAAGCAAGGGAAAGCAGGTTGTTTAACTCGGCAGCGATTTGTTAGGCAAATAGTTCAGAAACCCTGGCTACATGCATGCTTTTTCTCAAACGGCAAGCGGAGCACTGCGAGCACGACAAGCACATCAGGAGCACAAATCAGGAAAAGAGAGGGGTTGGGCCCACAAGACGAACGTGGGTGGGAAAGATATTCATCAAGGACTGCTTAATGTCATGGCGTGTGCGGACGCACTGAACGCGTTTGGCTGTGCGCCCCGACTTCAGGGCACAAACCCTCATTTGCTGCCATTTGGACATTTGCCGCCATTTGCAAACTGTACCTTGGGCAGAGGTTGAGGATGGGAGGACGCTGCCAGTGCTGTGCAAAAGCGCTTGCGGTCCGTAGCTCTCGGGCAGCGAAAGCTCAAGCAGAGCTGGGAGACCGGTCCCACAAAGCGTTTGCTCCCTTTAGCCCGGACTTGCTCATTTGCGTGTGCATATGTAATGGCAGAGGGATTTCACAAAAAGGCTTGGATTTCCCCTTAAATTTCGATCAAGCGACCACCTTAACAGGGTACCCTCCAAAGCACACAGATTTTGGTTTGGCCATGCGCCAGTACTCAAGGGACCTCGTACAGGAAAGGAAACAAGGCGTCATATCAGGCTGATTGGCTTAATTTAAACAGTCCAAGTAGCTGCGCGCTTGCGAGAGCCAAGCACATTGAGAAAGACATTCAAACGCACACAGCTTTGACAACTTGAAGCACGACAGCGTAGGCAGGGGGAGGAATATTGGTTGGAGAAAAGAGTGGCATTCCCGTATTCCCTACACAAGAAAAAAAACGCGTGCTGCTGGGCTCGTGAATGTGCCAGTTCTCAATGGCTAGCGAAGTCAGTTTTGCAGCCCTTCTCCCGCAACATGGTTGCGGATACTCCCCTGATATCCCCTTCAAAGATGGGGTGTCTCAAAAGGGCTCCCCCGAAACAGCTTGGCAAAAGGGGCCCACCAATTTGAGAAACTCCCGTATTGTTATCAGAGTGTGAGGTTTCCACAACCTTTCAGGTAGCCCTCCATTGGTTTGGATTGGTGACTTGATTTGAAACCCACACCACGGGAAACCAAAGGAAAGTTCGCCTTGGGCCAGGAGAAGGCGCAGTTGGCGCATGCCCTTGCTACGGAGCCCGGCCTCATCCTCTCCATTGCGCGGGGCCGCTACGGCCACGCGGTGGCGCGCTTCGACTGAAGATTGGAGTCGGTGCCTAGTTTCAGGCAACCTGTTGGCGGTTTGGGTTGAAGTCCTAGGGAAATGGAAAATGTGAAATCGCATGAAACCGCTCTCCAACCTCCTGGGACCCAAAGGGAAGCTGATAGTTGGTTTTCATGACTGCGGCTAGTCGCTTAAAAGGGGCCAAAGAATTACCAAGGCGTCATCTGGTTGTGCAGTAACCCTCCCTGTTCTATTTGTGTTGACCGTTGTAGTGGGTGTTAAACATACTTTCTGCTTTTTCCACCGTCCTGTTTCGGCGTGCCCGTGCTGTTGTTGGTGGTGGTGTTAGCAGGCAGCTGTGATCGTGATTCATGCTTGTATTTTTGCCTTTGCTGCTTCAATGCTTTCAATTTGTTGCACTGGCTGCCATGCTCGTAAACATTCTGTTTGGCTGAAGTTGCTGTCAGTCCTCGTTGATTTTGCCTAGTTTCAATGCGACTTTTGTGGTCACTGTCGCTGCCCTGGTTGTTGTCATGGGTGTGATTTTTGGAGGGTGTCCTTCTTTGTTACCTTGGTTCAAAGGGACAGCACATGTTTTGGGTCCCTCCTTATGAGAGAGACCCAGTTGCCACTGCGGTTGCTTTGCCTGCGGACTGCCAAGATTGCTGTCTGACCGGAGGCATCAACGGCACGCTACCGCAGCAATTTCTCAAATGCTTGCCTTAAGAGGGCGAATGACATCCAAAGCGCTAGGCAACAACCGTGGCATTGCGGCGCCTTGTGGAGCGCTTTTCACAGAGACACCGCTAGTCAGCTGGAGAGATCGCTGCGAGAGGCCAGTGCCCTCTCGGCAACTCCATTCGCGTGCTTTGCACCGTTGGTTTCTTTCCTGGCAGAAGTGCGGACCTTCCGGGGCTGGGAACATGATTTCTGCTGGCTTCACTCAACCTTGCAGGCTTCAAGTATCTGATGGCCAATCAGAAGCGTGTCGTGTATCTACAGCGTCCGCCACCAGAGCCTGCTCAGTCCCCATAATGTGACAGCAGAGCCTGCGCAAACTCCCGCAGTCGTCGCCTTAGTCGGGTTCAAATTTGCATTGCCGAAACAGGCAACAACTTTATTCACGCAGAGTAGCGCCAAGCTGGCACAACCGCGGTGCCGGGGCACGCGCACGCCAACGCTCACGCCCACCACACCCGCACGCGCGCGCACGGACCCGCACACGCACCGGCACAGGACACACGCAAACAGACACACACACGAACACGGATACGGACACGGACACGCACACGCACACGATACACGAAGCAAACACACACACAGACACACCAACACACACACACACATTCAATCAACCACACACACGCTTGCACTTCCATTTTCGATTCTACTTCACCTGCACTTGCACTCACACTTACACTTACACTCACACTTACACTTACACTTACACACACACACACACTCTTACACACACACACACAAACGCACTTACACACCCTTGCACACTTACAGACGCTTGCACGCTTACACACGCTTGCACGCACACACACATACACTTACACAGACACACACAGACACACAGACACAGACACACAGACACACACACACACAGACACACAGACACGCACGGACACTCAGACACACAGACGCACAGACACACACACACACACAGACACCCACCCACCCACGCACGCACAGACACGCAGACACACACACACACATACACATACACATACACATACACACAGCCCCACACACACACACACCCAACCACCCGCCCACCCACCCACCCACGCACGCACGCACGCACGCACGCAGGCACGTACACACACACAACCGCGCACGCACGCAACGCAGGTATGTACGCACGCACACACCCACCCACCCACCCGCCCACCCACGCACGCACGCACGCACGCGCACACGTGCGCACGCGCACTCGCGCGCGCACGCGCACGCGCACGCGCACGCGCACGCACGCACGCCCACCCACACACACACACACACGCACACACGCACACCCACACACACACACACACACACACCCACCCACCCACGCACGCACGCACGCACGCCCGCCCGCCTGCCCGCCCGCCCGCCCGCCCGCGTGCGCGCGCGCACACCACCCACACCGACACACATACAACACACACAGGCGCACACACACACACACACACACACGCACACACACACACACACACCCACACACACCCACACACACACACCCACACACACACACCCACACACACACCCACACACACCCACACACACACACACATGCACTGCTACACACACGCACATGCACTGTTACACACAGACACACGCGCACACACATACGCACACAAAAACATTGCAGACACACACACACACAAACGCTTAATTACACAAACACCAACCCAAACACATGCACGCAAACACTGAACACACCCCCACACAGATACACACAGACGCACGCACGCACGCACGCACGCCCGCAAGCACTCACGCACGCACGCACGCACGCAGGCACGCAGGCACGCAGGCACGCAGGCACGCAGGCAGGCACTCACGCACGCCCGCCCGCCCGCCCGCCCGCGCACGCGCGCACACGCACACGTACACACACACACACCAAATTCACAACATGCCACATACACAGAGAGGCACACACGCACACACTGGGTTGTTCCAATCCCATGCTTGTTCCTCAGCCATTGCAGTGCTTTCCCTGTTGTGGTGGTGCCCCACCCTCGGATTGCAGAGTAGGAAAATTGGGATCCGGGACCCCACCATTCTGACCTATTGCTAGCTGTCAGGGCGTTGTTCTACTTGGAAGCTTCTCCCGGGGGCAACGCTAGATCACCACCAATGTCCTTTGCTTGGGGGGATCCCGATTTTCGGTTCTGTTTTTTTGTGCTATTTGAAGGATTGCGTTTTCTGCCAAGCCAAAGCAAGCCCATTTAACGTTCAGACCTTCGGGCTTTGGAACTGTGCTGTGCAGCCTCGCAACAATCATGGAAGGTCACAGTCACAGGAGTTGTAGAATTTGTACATATATTGAGCAAACATCAAAACCCGGTCCTTGAAGGTTAGTGTGGGGCAGTCGCAAATTTACATCAGTGGACTGGAGGCAGCTGGTCTTTGCCGTCCTGAGCGAGCCCACACGGAGTTTGCTGAGCCAGGAGCTTGCTTTGCACTCCGAGGAGCTGCGTGCCTCGAGGCCGCTTGCAAGTTCGATTGCCAATGGGAGAAATCTGGGGATTAGGGTGGGTTTAGGGTCCAAGACCTGCGCAAACGCGTCAAAAACTGCAAGCCACTGAAAGCCGCCAACATGTGCCAACAGCTGCCTCTTCCCACCAACCCGACGTTAACTCAAAGCCAAACCCAGCCCCCCTAAACCAACTTCAAACTCGTTAACATCTTTAAGCCCACCTGAGCCAAGCGAAAACGGGATTGAAACAATAGTTGCAATGGGCGCTAAATGAAGAGAAACACTCGTTGAACAGAGCCCACATTTGTTGACTGACCATTCGTAGCTGGATGCAAAGAAGTAGCTTACCATGTGACGGGTTTGCATGCCGTTGGATGCTGGCGACTCTGCACATCGATCCTTTTATCGAGGCGTCTAGTTCAGTTTGCGCCTTCATAAGTAAGATTGGAGCACTATGCTTGCAGAGAGGGCTGTCATGCGAGCAATCGCGCTCGTACAGAACCAGGATCACGTGTTTTTCCAGCGACCCTTTCCTTTCCACCGACCTGACAAATCCTTTTTTTGTGGCTTGTTGCTGTCTGCCTTATGCAATCCTGTGAATCCTCTAGCATTGTATCTAACTAATCCTTCAAGATTGTGGCAGTTTTGTTCAGGTACGGTCGCCTTGTGCTCAACATCCTGTACCGCAAGGCAGACACCGACTCTGATTAGTCCGATGCATGTGAGGGAGGCCGATGCTTCAGCAGAGCTGGCCTTAAACCTGCTCCCTAGCAAATAAACATGGAACCCAAGAAAAAGAAGGCCATTCCTCCACAACAGATCGTTTTTTGGGTTCCATGTTGTTTTAATGGGGGCCAAACCCTACCCAAGGGATTTTCTTTTGGCCCGGCTGTTGGACATTCGACAACTAAGATCTGTTCATTCCACAAACCAGCTGTCAGACTGGCGACTGCGTGGCCACAGCCTTGCGTGCTAAGCGCGAGTTTTTCACAATGAGGAGACGGCCCCAGCCGCGTGAGAAAAGGCGGTTGCAATGGCGACAAATGCCAGAGGCCGCGACTAAAAACTGGCTTCAACCAGACAATCTCAGATCGCTTTGTCAAGAATTGGGATGTGAATTGGCTTAAGGCTTCTTTGGAAGCCTAGCTGGGGGAGCCTACGGCCAAAGGCGCCCCGAAGCTTGTCCATATGAAGAATTGGCTGCAAGTCAACAGATTGCAAACATTAGAACATGGGCAAGAGGGGTTGCAAGCTGTGCTTTGTCAATGCTTGTTGCGAAGGCAGCACCTGCGACTTAGGGCCTGCGTTTCAGGACGAGCGACGCCGGAAGGGCATGCGACCCATTTCCTAGTTCCCGTTGCAGGACTGCTGGCAAGGCGTGAGGGAGGGCAGACCCGGTGTTTGTCTCAACGGCAGCAACAGAAAAGACAGCCAAAGGTGCACAAGCTTAATATACCAAAGTTTACACTAAAGACGCCGCCGAACCAAGCGCAGCTGACAGCAACCAAGTCGAAGGGCTGCAATGCTGTCTAGGATTGTCATATGATCCAAACATGTTGCAGTGCGTGTGCCCGTTTCATGTGTTGACTAGAGAGGTGGCGGCTTTAAAGAGCGTCTGAAGTGACCAGGTTTGGTCTGCTGGGCATGAGAAGCATCACACATTTCAATTCCTGGGAGAAGGCTCCAAGTGGCTTAAGGCTGAAGTCAGGCTTGCACAAGAGCCCTATCAATTCTATTTCCCCCACCACTTTTGTTCAGAGCTGCCCATTGGTTTGCAAACTACATTGGACTCGTTTACCATTTGTAAATGGTTCTCATACCATTTGTGAATGTTTCTCATTCCGCT